CGATATTTTAAATAAAATATGTATCTGTTTCTTTCAAGAGGAAATATTTATTCCAATATATATAATCCTGCTCATTATGAAATGCTATAAAGATAAAGACCGTGATCGATCAATTCCAAAATAGGAAGTCATTAATTAATTCTTGAAAGAGGGAGGATGAGAAAAATGACGTTAGAGTTTATATTCAAACAAGTAATCGACTCTTCTTTCTCAGGTGTCATTTCCGTTTTATGTAAACAGGATGAAGATGCGATGGATGTTGATTTATATGCAATTGTAGAATACACATGTCGATTACGTGAAACGCGTACAAACTATGTTAAGGCGTGCCATATCATTCTTCAGCAATTTATGAAACGATTTAAATCACGCGAATATTAATGTGTGTACCGCGCCACATCCGGTTATATATCTAAGATGAACTTGTGACATTGTTTCGGACGTTTGCAACAACAACTCGTGGCAACAGTAATGTACGTAACATTACGATAGCAGTTGTTGAAACACAATTTATTTTTAGAAAACGCAATGATATAAGTGTAAACGATAATTGTTAGTACAATCGCGATATTGAGATTATTCCTTTCTCGTGTGTATTATATTTATTCAAAAATATTTATTTTATATATTTCGATCGATATTCAATCGATCGAATACGAATAATATGATAATAATAATATGGATTTATCAAATTTTTTCGGATTTTTTTTACGCGATATTTAAATCGACCGATATTGACTAAGAGCTGTGTGTGAATCGTAATCGACATTTGTTTCGCGTGATTTTTATTCGATATATAGGTTAAGATAACGAATTAACATGCTGTATCGCGTATTTATAACACCGAGGTCGCAAAAATACGTATTCCATGATTGCAAGATCGAGTGATTGCTCTTATTTGTAGCGAGAAATCTATGATGTAAATCGGACGATTGTAAACCTGGCTCTGGTATGCGAATGAACGAGGTCTTCCGTAACTTTTTTTTTTTGAATGAGCGCCAAGGTGCGGCACAATGGGTCGTCCTTAATAACGCAAAATCGTCCCGTCATGAGCCGTTTAAAAAAAGAAAAGAAAAGAAAAATCGTTTCGCGACGCCTTACAAAAACTTGCAGAATTTAGAACGAGGTTGCGGATAAAGTCGCGGTAAATCGAAGGACGTTGACATACAAACCCGAAATGATTTTCCGAGAAACGCGGAGAAGGAGGAGATGTATTGCCAAGTGTAATAAGTTTTCGTCGTGGAATATTTGTCGAAAAAAATTGGTCGAGAGGAAAAATTGGTCGGACCGTCCCCCGTAATTCTGGTCTCTTGAGAAGAGATCGGTATTTCCTTTCATACATCTTCCACGAGTTATAAATAAGTGTGCTCTGTCGCGGGAAAACCGATCTCTGTTATTATTGTTAATTAGCCGTTTAAAGATTAAGCAAATCCGTTGCGAAGGCTGGGATGATTGCGCAACGTCAGCAACGAGCAATGATTATTAACGTGAGCGAGCGAGAAACGACGGCCCCGTACGACACGTCAATCACGCAAAGAAGCAGCTTGTAAAAGTCACCACTGACGATCGTCTCTGACGAAAGAGGATTTCCTCGACTGTTTTTCGTGTGCGCGCGCGTACAGTTGACGTTGCACAACCAGACACAATCGGTTGGTAGAGAAAACCAGTTCGTTGTGCCACGGAGAGCTCTCGAGTCTTGAGCTCCCTCAAGGTGGTCTCGTCTAAATATAGCCGAGTGGAGCCCAGAATAACATCGCATCGAGCCGGCAATGACTAAAGCCCTCGCCTCGTCCACGAACTAGGATAACCGCTTCGAGTGGCGGGTCAGTTTTGTCCACCGGTCCTACCAATCGTCCTTTCACCCGTCCAGCGAGAGGATAAACAAGGAGATAAACAAACTTAACGGGAAGGCTTTTGGAGATCCGTATAATGAGAAGAATGAGATAATGTAGCCAAAAGACTCTTACGACAACATGGATTCGACGAAACATTCAAATCAAGATGCTGCAGCGATCAAAGAAAAAAACATAATAATAATATAATTTATCAAAATTGTCAAATTGTCAAGAATATACGGATATTTGGAGATTGCATCAAAATCAAAACAATTGAAATCAAGATTAAAACAATTGAGGGAAAGAGTTTGGCAAAATAATCAAAATCAGTAAATAAGTTCATTTCATGTTTATGTATCAATGGAATATACTTTTATGATTTATATATATATACATAGCTGCATGCTTATATATCAATGAATTATTTTGATATTTACTTTCATGTCAAACGAACAGATTTAATACTTCAAAAACGTATACCGCAAATACTGATTATTGTCCTGAGATATTATAATACTATGACGAAATTCATTTCAAAGCGTGAAAAATCCCGTGAAATCATAATTCTAATATTAGAATCTTGTCTATTACTAGGTTAACCGACCCGAGTATTGGGTCAGTTCGCCGTTTATCGGAAATGCTGATTCTATCTAGGAGAGAAAAAGCGGGAAGTTCAGGTTCCGATAAACAAACCTGACCCGCTTCAGCTCCCTTCTCTATTCTTAGCTCGAGAAGACAAATATGTACGCGGTTTCTCTTCTACTAATGGACGACAAAGCCATTACTAGAAAACTAATGATTAATAATAATTTGTAATCGTGGCATGTAAGTCAAACTAATTTTTTTAGACATATCACATTCGCGAAAATTTATTTAAAATTTCAAGTATTTTTTTGTTTATAGATTATCGGAATGTAAATATCAAAAGGAATAAGTAAAAAAGAACGATTGAAAATTCATATTGTATAAAATCAAGATATCATATTAATAAGATATGAGTGGAATATTAATTTATTAATACTTGTTAATTGCGTTTCCTAATTTTTTCATTGCATTTTTTTTTGTAAAACTTAGTTTTACAAAATAATTTGATGATTATTTTAAAATTCTCGAACAATGAATCTCTCTGATTTATTAATGAATTATTTTTTATTGATAACAGTAATAGCAACCAAATGTCTGAAATGTAAAATTCGAATGTTACGAAGTAAGAATTTATAAGAGTATAATATATGTATAAACTTTGATCAACGAATTATCTCCAATTTATATTGCGAGATATAAAAATAAGATTTAATGAAAATTTAAGGAAAAAAGATATAAATATCAGATGATACTGATCGTTACTATCGATAATCCTAATCACAATGATACGAGATATTTGCTTGTGACAACCCTTCTTACGAGCTAGATTCTAAAATCGGTCAAGAATGATTAGAAATTGTTATTAATTAAAAATCGACGAAGGTAGAATACATTATACTTGCTACAGTCGAACCGCCGAAAGCATTATAACATTGCGAACCCTCGCGGATAAAGACGGCAGGCAGTCTGCGCAGTGAGAAAGAAATGAAAAAGAGAAAGAGGCTCTCTAAGCGACGTGGCGGTGGTCGCTACGATTAAAAAAAGAAGTGACCCCCACGACTGTCACGTTTAATTTATATGTTAATGAGGAGCGCATGTCACATTTCAGCTGCCCCGTGCACCATCTCTTAGAGTACGTAAGCGCACAGAAGGAGATTCCGTTCCCCCTCGTTCATTCCGCTTCTTCCTTCCCCTCCCCCCTCTCCCCCTGTCCTCTTTTTTGGGTTTATATTTATACCACGCCACACACCATGGCATCCGACACAGTCAACTTTGCCGCGTTACTCTCTCTCGGTGCATCTTAGTCCCTTTCTCTCCCTCTCGCTTGACTTCGATATTCCCTCCCCCTCTCGACTTCCTCTCTCTCTCGTTTCCTTTTTTTCCTCTCGGCGGTCTCCTCTTTTCCCTTCCTCCTTCTCGGCTACACTCGTTTTCATTGCGCCGATGGCTAGTCCGTCGATGGTGCACCATGCACGCGATTCACGCACACGCGTGCGCTCGTTCACTTTCGAGGAAAGGATGGCCTCACAGTCTTCTCCTAAGTTAATTATTCCGAAAGGAGGCAGGGATCAGAGATTGATAAGCGATGCAGCGATAACATCTGCTGCAGTCGGCATGATCACTAATGAAATAGTCATTTTAACATTGTTATTATATTATTTCTTTCGTTTGGAAATATATGAAACGTCAATATTGCGTCGTAACGTCATAATTGTATAGGGAGATGTGTACATATAAAGATCCATAAGAGAAAAATATCCCAACAATCTTGTATCTTTGTTTTCCTATTATTCCCATAATTTTTCAAGATAATTTTTGTATCGGATTTAATATGTATAATAAATATAAAAGAATAATTGTTTATAATATTATACTCAAATTAACGACAATTAAAACTTTCAAGTGTGTCTTGTAATACGAGTCCTATATATATCACGTATAGATTTCTAATTATTTGCTGAATAGGCAACCGGACATGATCACTGATAAAGTAGTCATTTTAATATTGTTATGATTCTATTTTCTTTTACTTGGAAATATATGAAATAATTGTATATGTCAAATAATTGTGTATATGTATAATTTTATAGGGAGATATGTATATGTATAAAGATCCATAAGAGAAAAATATCCAAAAAATCTTGTATTTTTGTTTTCCTATTAACGCCATAATTTTTTTCAAGATAATTTTTTTATCGAATTTAATACATATAATAAATAAAAAAGAATATTGTTTATATTATTATACTCAAATTAACGACAATTGAAACTTTCAAGTGTGTCTTGTAATATCGATTTCTATATATCATGTATAGATTTCTAACTATTTGCTGAATAGGTAACCGGACGTGATCACGAACGTAACAAATTCGATTACACGCGTGGTGTCCGATAAACTCTCGAGCCCTAAATAAAAGACGCTAAATAAATAATTTTCTTTTTCGCGATTCGATGAATTATACGATTAATTTCAAAGTCCCAGTTGATCAAAAATAAAGTTTAGATATATCAGGGAGGGATGAGAATCGCGATAACAAATTTCAATTTCTATTGATTAATGTGCATACATGATGATTGCAGAAATGCTCGGACTACAAGGCCTCGAAAGTGAAAGCCGAAGGAAGGACCTTCGTGAGGACCGAACCGCCAGATACGCAGGTGACCAAATCGGTGATCGCCCTGCTACTGCACTATGGATGGAACAAATTCACGATCGTGTCCGAGAGCGCCTGGTCGACGGTCGCCCGTTCGCTGCAAGAACAGGCAACCAAGAACAATCTCACTGTGAACCATTACAAGATCGTCGAGGATCGGCACACGTGCTGCGAGGAGAGGCTGCCTTGCTGCCAAGTTAGCGTATGGTTTCAACTCATACAGGAGACCAAAAATATGACCCGTAGTAAGTTCACGTTTTCTTTAGTTTTGCTCAGTTAATTCGCAAGATTACTGAACTCTTTTAGCATTCAGATTGATCCGAGAATTTTAATAATTAAATATTTTAATGAGATTAGCAATTATGTCTCGAGAGCCAATATTAATTTCGAATTGAAAATAGCATGTTTACTTTCTTTACTTCACATTCTAATTAATTAATGTATAATAAAATATTCTCTCTGCTGTTGCAATAGTTAAAACTTTTTCTCGCTACACTTTTTATGCACTTTTATAAGATGTCAAATTTTTAACAAAAGTATATGTAAGATTTTCATTTATCACGTTTATATGAATTATCGTAATCTTATTCGTTTTATCAATGCAAAATGTCATTATATTTATTGTTTTAGTTTACATCTTCTTCGGCACGCCAATGTCACTAATAGATATGATGTCTTCAATGCAAGGCCAAAGGTTGCTGGACGATGGAGAGTACATGGTAATACACGTGGACATGATGATGTATTCGCAACGTGAAGCACAAAAGTATTTATGGAGTGAGTAAATCTGAATTTTACAGAATGATAAACCAACCTTATCAAGCATTATATTTATATTACAAATATATAATAGTAATCGATTAACTGAACGTAATCGTTTGAATCCTATACTATTTAGCATAATTGTGTATGTGTAAAATTAATTTTAATAAATTCAAGATAAAATTATTTGCTTATATATCTCTTTTAATATTTAAATAAGATTTGTAAAATTAAATAAAATTAAATAAAATTAAATAAGATTAAATAAAATTAAATAAGATAATATTTTTAAGTCTTAATATTTTATATTTATATCTCAATATTTTTATAATATTTTTAAATTTTACGCCATACAAATAATAACATAATAAACATGTATATAACTAATTTTTATGATTTTACAATACTAATAATTCATACAATATTAATATTGGCGCAGAACCGGAAGATTTTGATAAAGCAAAAAACTGCCTCGAGCCTAAAGACTTTTTGAAAAAAGCACGCTCGCTGATGGTTGTTGTATCAACGCCACCAACGCAAAATTACGGAGAATTCACTAAAAAAGTCCAAGAATACAGTAGTAAGGAGCCTTTCAATTTCGTAATCCCTCCGCTTCTGAGAAAGTATGAAAAGGTATTTTTAGATGCTAGTTCAACCGTAAACGCTCATACCACATAATCTTTATTACACGCTTAATCTCTTGGTTTCAGTATGTGTCCATTTATGCGGCGTATCTCTACGATTCTCTTAAACTGTACGCGAGAGCCTTGGATCAGCTTATGCGAGATTTACCGAATCAATCTGTCGAGGAGCTCGCTAAAAATGGCACTCTTATAATTGAGACGATTATCAAAAATCGTACATATCAAAGTAAGTACATAGTAATTGACGTCTGATAGATGTAATTTATATCAATAGAATCTCGAGTGGTTCTTACAAACACTCGAGATCATCTAACACTAGACATACCAATGATAAAACAAGTAGAAAGAACAATAAATATCTCAAAAATAAATCGAGATAATTTCTGAATTAGATTTCTTTTTTCTCCTCTAAAACAGGCAAAAAATTAATATCTAAACATTGACTTAAAAAAATTTTTTTTTTGCCAGGTGTGAGTGGAGCGACCATCAAGCTGGATAAATTTGGAGACTCGGAGGGAAATTTTTCGGTTCTTGCTCTGAAGAAAGAACCGTTCATTCGGGACAACTTCTCATGCGACTATCAAATGTTGCCCGTAGGCCAGTTCCTGCAGGGTGAAACTCTAGTGAGTGAGTTGTTTGTAGCATTTTAAGAAATATTTTTCACGACAAGAAATAATGAGTCATGGCAAGAAACAATGTCAAGAACAAAAAAGAAAACAATCTTGTTCCGCATTTAAATCGTTGGATCATGAAATTTGAACCTGCCACGATGATTTGTCGAATATATACGATATAATTGCATGATAGGTATACAAACCTTGGGGCGCTATGGAGTGGCCTAGTAAAACTAAACCGGAAGCAGAACCTGGTTGCGGTTTTCATAATGAACATTGTCCGAAAGACGATACACATTACCGCAGTATCATCGCCGCCGTGGTGCTGGGCATCGCGTTATTCTGCGCTGCAGTAATCACTATAAGTATATACCGACGATGGAAAATAGAACAGGAAATAGAGGGATTACTTTGGAAAATTGATATGAATGATATACACGGTTATCCTCATCTCGATAACATGATGTCATCCCCTAGTAAGGTAAGATTATCGCATTAAGATAAACTTAACGAAATACTCATTCATACATAAATGCACTCTCAATGCATGAATGTAAACGGTAAATTGATTTTTCAATTACAGTTAAGTTTAGTTAGTGCAATGTCCTACGAATCGAGATGCGGCGGCCAAGTGTTTGCGCAAACTGGGCATTACCATGGTGTAGTGGTGCGGATAAAAGAGTTGAAATTCTCAAAGAAAAAGGATATTTCACGGGACGTTATGAAGGAGATGCGCATTCTCCGTGAAATTAGACATGGTAATCTCAACTCTTTCATCGGAGCGTGTGTAGAACCGATGAGGATATTGTTAATTACCGACTATTGTGCCAAAGGAAGTCTTTATGTACGTTAGAGCGTAATCACGGTGATATTATATTTTTATTCATATAGTACAATGTATTATATGCAAAATCATATTTAAATGCATTCTAAAATTAATTAAATATTTTAAATATTACTTTAAATATTATATTTAAATTAATAATTATATTTATTAAAATATTTATATAAGTGCATTCTTCTAAAATTTAAACAGTAAGATGATAAGATATTTGAATGTGCTTATATAAATATACACTTTTTCAGGATATCATTGAAAACGAAGATATAAAATTAGATGATATGTTCATTGCATCATTAGTTCACGATCTCATTAAGGTAGGTCTTTTTTTAGCATAAGAAAAATCAATATATGGTATTGTAAAGTAGTTTTACAAATATCTTCTATTATTCTATTAAATAGGGTATGCTGTATATTCACGAGTCATCTGTGCTAGTCTGTCATGGTAATTTAAAATCTTCCAATTGTGTCGTAACCTCACGTTGGGTGCTTCAAGTTTGTGATTTTGGTCTTCATGATATGCGTCATTGTGCTGAATCTGACAGCATCGGTGAACATCAGTATTATCGAAGTATGCAAATATTTTTATTTTCATGCTAAATATCGTATATGTTTTGTGTTATTATAATCTATCCAAATATCTATTCATTTTAGGCTTGTTTTGGAAAGCGCCCGAGCTGCTAAGAAATCCACACGCTTCGATTAGAGGCACTCAAGAAGGAGATATTTATTCTTTTGCTATTATTTTATACGAAATTCTCGGACGTAAGGGACCGTATGGAAATATAAATCTGGAACCCAAAGGTAAACATAATAATACAAAGATATATGTGTACACAAACACATACATATATATATATATATAAAACGAGTATTCTTGATCGTTATTTAATTAAAGCCACAATGAAAAATAAATAAAACTATTTTTTAATGACTAATAGAAATCATAGATCGAGTGAAAAAGTTTCCGGAAGATGGTGAACCGCCGTTTAGGCCTAACTTAAATATACTCTCCGAGTCGAAAGCAAATTGCGCTGATTACGTCATCGGTACTATTATGGACTGTTGGGCGGAAAGTCCAGAACTTAGACCAGATTTTAAAACGATAAGGACTAGATTAAAGAAAATGAAAGCGGGATGGCATCGAAATATAATGGACCAAATGATGAATATGATGGAGAAATATGCAAGTAATCTTGAAGATCTAGTCACCGAGCGTACGGGACTTCTTTTGGACGAAAAAAAGAAAACCGAGGATCTACTTCACAGAATGTTACCTAAGTGAGTAAACTGATGTTAATGTACTAAAATTTACATAACATAGTTATAAAGTTTCCGCAGAGAAAGTATGCGTGCAAATATGTACATTTACAAAATATTACTTATTTTAGGCCCGTCGCGAATTGTTTAACAAACGGTATTGGAGTAGAACCGGAAGCCTTCGATTTGGTTACGATATACTTCAGCGATATTGTCGGTTTCACGGCGATGTCAGCAGAAAGCACGCCATTTCAGGTAAAATTCACACATACCATTTTATGATTAATAAACGAAAAAATAATTTTTACTTATTTAATTGAATCTTACTAACAGGTTGTCAATTTCTTGAATGATCTGTATACATTGTTCGACCGTATAATTAGAGGCTACGAAGTATATAAAGTGGAAACGATCGGGGATGCTTACATGGTCGTAAGTAACATTCTTAAAATTAATCAATTAATTACAAGAGAAACAAAATTATTTCTTAGTGTTCGATATTTTTCAATCATCCAGGTTTCCGGTCTTCCAATCAGAAATGGAGATCAACATGCTGGACAGATAGCATCAATGTCGTTGGAATTACTTAATGCTGTTAAACATCACACAATACCTCATCGGCCTCAAGAAACTCTCAAATTACGTATCGGCATTCATACTGGTAAGAGATATTAAGGATGTGTAGTATATACATAATACATTTGTCGGTACATTGATCGATGAATAACATGAATATAAAATTATAGGTCCTGTGGTAGCGGGTGTCGTCGGTTTGACAATGCCTAGATATTGTTTATTCGGCGACACTGTCAATACTGCGTCTCGTATGGAATCTACTGGCGAACCATTACGAATACATATAAGTAAGCAGTGCAAAGAGGCATTAGAAAAGATCGGAGGTTATCAGATAGAAGAACGCGGCTTTGTTGAAATGAAAGGAAAAGGAACAATGAAGACGTATTGGCTCACAGGGGCTACTGTGACACATAGAAAGAATACAGAGGTTTGTGAAAATAATTTTGCAAAGTATATACGAGATTATGTTACAAAAGAATAAAATTGTATATATAAAGTTTATAAATATAGAGATGATCTTTTCTAAATTCTTGAATTTTATTAAAAGTCAGAAGGGATCTTTATATTCAATATATTAGAGCATTTCTTTACTTATTAAATTTAGTTTTATATGAAATGTTTCTGCAAAGAGAAGATAAAGATATAATATTGTTACTTATTTATGTTCTTAAAGACTAATGCGCAAACTTTTTGATGTTAAATAATTGAATAATTCACATTTGTACATTGAAATCGTTAAGAAAAAAATATATTTTAAATTTATTTTTATTGTCCATTTCCTTTCTCTTGAAAAAATTAAATTTTTTTATGTCTTCAGAATTTTAATGAAGACGAAAATCTTCCACCGTTGTTCTGCAGACCACGAAGAAGCCCAAAACTAAATCCAGATTCACGATACGCCTCACTGTTAGAAGGATTAGGTGCTGGAAGTCGCAGGCATTCAAGAGTACCATATCCGGCTGATGACTCGTCTTCTCAGTATGGTGGATCTAGTCCAGTTCCGCGATCATTACATGCTCGCAAACTCGAGAAATCTCCCTTATCTTTAACCGAAAGCGTATCGAAGAGCACACTGGACAATATTTCAATCCAAGAAGAAGGTGTGCAGAGACATTTCAATATTAAATCGCTCGACGATCTGTTCATAAGTGCGGGACCGAAATATAGGAAAAATGCACGTGCTTTGTCTACGATCGCATCCTCATCGTCAAGCGACTATCCATCTCAAACTGTTATACGCGAATCTCGTTCATTGGATCCGATTCCCAGTGATATATATAACAAACGTTTTGAATCGTCAAATTTTTGGAAAGAGAATGAATGCACAAGGACTGATTCAAAAATGGACATTTTGGAGAAAATGCTGAACAATAATTATCCTAATGGTAATGTGATAATGCCTCACACCGATAACTTGTCGAATGAAGCAGATCCGCTGTTAGGTGACAACAGCGAAGGCAAGAGCGAAATACGAGAGAAACGTTCACGTTCGCTGGATCAAGTGGTATCTGCATCTAGTATGGACAGTGTACCTGATAAAAAGTCTTCCGCACGAAAGCTGTTAGAAATTCCACCTGTTTCAACTATCATACAGATGTTTAATGGTAACGGATTGCGAAACAGTAATCATTCTTTAAGAAGAGGAATAATACCAGGGTACGATAAGCAAAACGAGCGCGAAAGTGTGGTCTAGTATATACATTCGACAAATATATTTTTTTAAGTACGACAAACATTCGACAAACTCGGTAGCAAAGAATAAAATCATGTGCAAAAACTGTGGACTACCAGATGCATATGTGAAGCATATTACGTTTATGAGTCATAAGCATGATTTATTGTTGCCATCTTCTTTTTTTCTTTTTTTAGCTTAGATATGTGCAATTTATGTATATGAAAGTTACCGACATACGGATTGTATATTTTTAATATCTAGATATTTTATAATTTATGTGTACTAAAACGAGTGCGTCGGGACGATGCAAAAAACAACTTTTACATGATTCACAGGGTCTCCTGTTATTTTTTCTTTATTAAGATTTTTAATTTGAATTTTGTAACGAAAATGATAAACTGTTTTATAAAAATCATGACTAAAGTGTACACCATGGACATTAGATCATCCAACGATTCATTTCGTTTAATAATACAAAAAAGGAATTAGGATGGCATCGCATATAATCGATGTCAGAAAGTTAAGAGACTTTTTGTTTCATAGGTAATTTCTACAATTTTATGTGAAAAAAATATATATAAAATAAGACAAAAAGATAATAATAGTTATTAAAATATTATTAAGTTATTAAAATTATGTAAAAAATTTGTAGATTACCTAATAAATGAAAAGTTTCTCAGCTGTTCCAATGTCGACTGTATATATACGCGCGCATAATCAAATATGGAGAGCATGAATATGTAAGAGAAAAGTGTATATATAATACATATATTAGTATATATATGTATATCTATAGTATATATAAGTCTATACTTGTCCATTGAAGGAAGTAAATTGTCCGTATGGCTGTGAGAAGTAAACTAGATTATACCTAAGGTGCTTAGTAATATATCATGTTGTCAAATGTATATAACTAAAAAAAATAATATATCAGTGTAAAAATAAAATGTTAAAAGAATTATTACCTTCTATATAAGTCAATTAAAGATTCGACTTCTCAAGTTATTGACAATTTTCCAATATAATTTATAATATGTTATTTACTTTTATTTTATAAATAATTACAACATAAAATGTCTATCCTGAATCAGAGATGAAATTCTTATATATTTACATATTATATATACATAAGTTTTATTGCAATCACATTTCTATAATGCCAAAGATGCATTTTACGAATTAATGGCAGAGTAAATTAATCTTGACCACTAAGAAATTTTGACATGAAATCGGTTGGTTTTTTTTCCCACGTTTCCTTCCAATAATACATAAGACCTCCTTTAGGTTTCCAAACATTAGCTACTTCTTGTAATTCCATTTGACCCTGTTGAGATGTATAACTTTATATTTAATGTGATAAATATAAAATTTAATTATTATATAAGTATACAAAAATAATTTTTAATATCATGTGGAGAGAATATTCGATTAAACTTTTTAAATGTATAACAAAGTTATAAAAGAGGATCTTGCTTTTAGTATAATATGTATATATATTGTAATTATTGCATATAAATAATTGGTGTAATATATAAATTACATTAGTTAACATCTATGTATAAAGATTCTCTTATTTGATTTTCTTACCCTTATAATAAGATGATCTAAAAGCCTTAAGTCAGTCACATGAGCATGACGTTTGAACTCTTCACGTATCTTTTGCTTACACTCTCTTTCACTCTTGGGAATATCGTAGCTTAGCACTATGGAAAAAGAAAAATAAGCATATATAAGAATATAGAGTTCTAATCAATTATATCAATAGAATATCAATAGAATAAAAGAGGATTTAATAGGAAGTTATAAAAATAAGTAACAAAAAGAGATGACAAGTTGCAATGTAAAGTAGCAGCCTGATGTTATATGTAATGAAACGGATATTATAATTACTATTATTAAGATAAATGAATACTGAAGTTATTTAAATATAAATATCCATGTTCTATATACATATCATATAGGTTAACTATACGATAAAGAAGCAAAAGTCTACGATATAAATACATAATAAATTACGTACACATAGTTGGCACCTGACGAATCCATCCTTTATACAATTTCAACACTTTTCGACGTGCATCTTCTCTGTTAACAGATAAAACTGGTTTCACTTGGCGAACAACAGTCGCAGCTTGAGATGCCATTTTTATCAATTTTGACCTAGCCTAGACTGAGCTAATTTTATAGAGGGATCTACTATAATTTGTATCAACGATAGGTAACACGTCTTACAATCAGCTGTTGTCTCTACCTCTACCTCAAACTGCTTTCTCATAAACTTGGTTTCACTTGGTTGCAACCTTTGTTGCAACATATTGCCCGTTATTGCAATTTATTCCGATTTATCGGAAAGACATTTATCAGACAGATCTGTTTTCGTCTCGAAAAAATTATTTATTTAATTGTAAGTATTAATATATATTGTCAAAATAAAGCTATTTTTTTCTGTGCATAAAATATTTTCTTTACATAAATGCACGATTTTTTGCATTTTAAGCATAGCTAAAGATTTAAAATAATTTAACATTTTTTCTTTATATTAATGTTGATATAATTTTTAATTAATCAATATACAACAAATCTAATGTCTAACATATGTAATTAAATTTTATCTACCTAATTTATGCGTATATTATTACTTTTCAATAGGTTGTGTATGTCATCATATTTAAAATATATTACTTATATAGAATATTTATATCTTATTTACAGAAAGATGGTTGTGAGGCAGTATCAAGAGGAACTTAAATACTTGGAAAAGATAAATGAATATTGTTGGAGAATCAAAAAAGGCTTCCAACCTAACATGAATGTAATCTTTTTTTCTTATTGGATATAATATAAAACATGATTACAACATTGACAGCTTGACAGATATAGATATCAATATTTAATCTTAATGTTTATTATATTTATATTTATTTTCTCTCATATAAACAAATTATAATTCAAGGTTGAAGGAGTGTTTTACGTGAACCATACATTGGAACGTTTAATGTTTGAGGAGTTGCGCAATGCATGTCGGCCAGGTGCAGTTGGAGGTTTTCTTCCTGGGATGAAACAGATTGCTAATGTTGCAGCTCTGCCTGGTATTGTATGGAGATCCATTGGATTACCAGATGTACATTCTGGATATGGCTTTGCTATTGGTAAAGTATTATATTTTATATTTAAACACTTATAATTTAAAGTAATTCACACTTAATTGTCACTTATCAATAATGAGAAAAATAACTAAATGATAATGTGAATTAATATTATTGCATTTTTTTTTAGGTAACATGGCAGCATTTGACATGGATGATCCAAAGTCAATTGTATCACCTGGGGGTGTTGGCTTTGATATAAATTGTGGTGTTCGTCTATTGCGAACAAATTTATTTGAAAGCGATGTCCTACCAATAAAAGTAAATCTGATACTTTTTATTTGCTAATAATTTATTTTTACTTTGTGCATTATAAAATGGTACAATACATACTGTATGTAATAATATAAAATATTTTATTTTAGGAACAACTTGCACAAAGTATGTTTGATCACATTCCAGTTGGTGTTGGGTCTAAAGGAATTATACCAATGAACGCACGAGATTTAGAAGAGGCATTAGAAATGGGAATGGATTGGTCTTTGAGGGAAGGTAAGCAAAAAAGTATTATGATGGAATTAAATAATATTAAACAAAATATTGATATTGATATTATTTAAATATTGATATTATTAGGATACATTTGGGCTGAAGATAAGGAACACTGCGAAGAATATGGACGTATGCTTAATGCTGATCCATCCAAAGTATCGATGAGAGCTAAGAAACGTGGACTTCCTCAAGTATATATTTAACAAATATTTAAAAAATTTTGTTTATAAATTTCTATTCGCATATATATTATAATTATATCTTATATTAGTTAGGTACATTAGGAGCTGGAAATCATTATGCAGAGATTCAGGTAGTAGATGAAATATATGATAAGTGGGCTGCATGTAAAATGGGTATTGAAGAAAAAGGACAAATTTGTGTTATGATTCACTCAGGAAGCAGAGGATTTGGCCATCAAGTTGCTACAGGTTTTTTTCAATCTGTTTCTAATTATATAAATTGTTTATACATTTTTTGTTTTATATTATATAAAATACTAGATATTTAGAAACTCATAAAAATTATATTATATTTTATACATAATAAAATAATATTTCAGATGCACTTGTGCAAATGGAAAAAGCTATGAAGCGTGATAACATAGAAACCAATGATAGGCAACTTGCATGTGCTCACATTAAATCTCAAGAAGGCCAAGATTACTTAAAAGCGATGGCAGCTGCTGCTAATTTTGCATGGGTTAACAGAAGTTCTATGACATTTCTTACCCGACAGGTATTAAAAAGATATATACATGTATATAAAAATTACATTATTTAACAAAGAATCACAAAATACAATATACAATATATTTCTAACAGGCATTTGCAAAACAGTTCAATTCATCTCCTGATGACTTAGATATGCATGTTATTTATGATGTTTCTCACAATATTGCTAAAATAGAAGAGCACATGGTTGATGGAAAACAAAAAACACTTTTAGTTCATAGAAAGGTAAATATTTATACAGTTACAATTGAATAATGATTAAATTTTGATGTGAACAATAATATGAACAATAATATGAATTATTAAAACATAATACTTGTTTTATATACTTGACAAAAAAATATTTTACTTGAAGGGATCAACAAGAGCATTTCCACCGCATCATCCTTTGATTCCTGTGGATTATCAATTAACAGGCCAACCAGTTTTAATTGGTGGTACTATGGGGACCTGCAGTTATGTTCTGACTGGTACAGAACAGGGTATGAAAGAAACGTTTGGATCGACGTGTCATGGCGCTGTAAGTAGTACACACAATTTATATCAATTTTTGATATGTTATTTTTATTAGTCTAATTTCAATTTTACAAATGTGTATATATAATAATAATAATAATATATATGAAAAAAAATATTCTTATATAAAAGAAATATATATATACAGGGTCGTGCTCTCTCAAGAGCAAAATCACGTAGAAATTTGGATTATAAGCAAGTTCTAGAAAAATTAGAAGAGTTAGGCATATCAATTCGAGTTGCTTCACCGAAATTGGTCATGGAAGAAGCGCCAGAATCCTATAAAAATGTAACAGACGTTGTTAATACCTGTCACGCAGCTGGAATCTCCAAGAAATGCATTAAACTTCGACCAATTGCGGTCATTAAAGGATAATACTCAACAAAAAATCAATTTTGACTGCTCTTTGGTCGATGGTGTATTACAGATATGTTTGCCAAGTGATATTTATTATATTTATGCGCGAAAATATCAGATAATCAATTTCACATTTGTTTTATGTGAAAATATTTGCATAATATTATATTTTTTGATAAATTGTATAAAACATTGTTTCGTAAGTTATGTAAATGTTAATATCACATACTCTTTTTATCTAATATATAATAATGCATGTGCATAATAATATAGATTTACTGTAAAATGTATATCTAATGATCATTAGGATACATCTTATGCGTTACAAATGCAAATAATCATAAAATAAATTCAACATCACATTTACATGAAACATTGCATTTATCATATATTTGTTATACAACAAATATATGTATAATAAAAGGTGGAAATAAAAGTATAAAAATTTTTAAAAATATTTCGTTAGCTTTTATTAGATAAAATGTACAATTATACCTATTTTCGCGATAAGAAAGCTATATTAGACTAATTGACTTTACACAGGAATTAAATTCGCAGCATTATATTTAACAAATCCTCCACGGACTAGAGAGAATAATACAGAGGAAAGATATATGAAGAAGAAAAAAGGAGCCTTACATTTTTTTAAATTGCAAGTAGATAATGAAAGCAAACCATCACCATAAATAGTATGTATATAAAATGATTCTATGTAACAGTGATCTATCAGTGTTTGAACCCTTAAAAAGAAAATACAAAGAGATGGAATGATAGTCATTGGAGGAGTTGTATGTAGAAATACAAAACCGACCAATAGGACGAATGGTCTGAGATGCATTCCATTAAAAGAAAGAGAATTATAAAATTTATATTATTTATATAAAATATTAATTCTAAGGGACTTTTTTCTTATGATAAGTGATAATCAGGAGATGGTTCAGCTACAGATTCAGTAGTGAACAGAGGATTTGGGAACTCTGGTGGGTGTGGCAGTGGTCCAGCAGTCTTTGGCTGACGTCGATACGCCATAAGCCAGCATGACACAGCGATAGCTACGGCAACCAGTGCCAAAAGCGCCGTAATTATCAACGCTATGATAAAGCCGACCATAGAAACACAGATATCTTCCACTCTTTGTGCTGAAGGAGCTGAAAAAGATTGCAAAAAAATAACTATTACTTTATTCTACTGCTCATGTACTGATCGTTATAACTTCTCCACATGTTATGCGCATTACCTTCAGCTGGATCTGCTGTATACCTCTCCTCTCTCCTTTCCAGAGTGAATATTAAATTTGATTGAATAGTTATCTCTTCACGAAGTTGACCTTCAAACCCATCAGATACACTTAGAGACGTGTCGTTGCTTTCGGAAACGTCTCTACGGCGACGGCCAAAGGCATTGTAGCCGCGACAGTTTACCTAAATTGAATGGAAGAAATAGATTTTTCATTATTTCGATATTTTAGATGTCTTCTAATTCGCACACTTGAAATAATTCCCATTAAATTATACAAGCGCGAATACTTACAGGCTGACAACGTCCAAAGCACACGCGTATATTGCATTGGAATCTTATATTATCGCTACTGGGAAACTTGAATGCGTTAAAACTAGCCATTAGTGATTGAGTATCAGGATTTTGTTCCCACTCGCCGAATATCGTAGGATCTGTCGCGCAGCCATTCTCATCTGTTACAATGTATTCGTTCTCCAAATTATCCTCCATAGTTTTAGCGACGCAATTTCGCGCAAATCCACCATAAATAGCTGCAATATTGCCACATTTATATTCGTATTTTATCAAATAGCAAGAATAAAAAATACTCGTGAACGTAGTACAAAAGTTACATATATTATTAAAAATAAAATTCAATACTCACTTGAAGGTTGAACTTCTACTTGGAGCATCAGATTGTCTCCAATCTCAGCCGAATTAATTTCATTTCCGTTCTGCGCGACTATTTTCATTATACATATAGGTGGTGGACCAGTGTTAGCGATTGTTCCAGCAGTCGTCAACATGGACACGTTGAAACCGAGGGTAACGTTTTGCTCTCCAGTCTGATATATACATTTGATATGATAGGCCTGTGCTTTGTAGGTCATCAACTTGGGATGTTTCTGTATGACGAGTACGAAGCTAGCTTGTCCCTAAAAGATGAATATAAAGATTATAGTAAGCATTTGTTTATGCAACAAATAATTACGATACAATGCTGTTCAACTAACATTCACGTGTATAAGTCCGCAATTGCCAAATGCAACTTTGAACGTTTCCGTCTTATGTTCAGTCTCGGCTGGTATCGAAACAACTCGTCTACACTGCTCGTCCTTGCTGCGTCCTTTAACATACAATACACCATCGAAATCTTGATCTTGCAGGTGTATTACGACTTGTACTCCATCCGACAGACAGCTCACATCCATTTCCGGCCTAGGGAAGTCTGTTCGGCCGTCCTTTCTATCATCTAAAAAAGAAAAAAATGCGCGTTAAAATAATTTTTCAGATGAACATTATTACTAATTCGTCATCAGTTATGCGATGCTTGGCAAAATAAATATAAAAAAAAAACTTATATTTGTATAATCTACAAAAATATTGTAAATAATCGTATTTTTTATATGTTTTTTTATGTGTTTTTCATAAATTCTTTACGTACAGCATTGTGTATACGGATTGCCCAAGTAACCATTGACGCAGATGCAGATAGCTTGATGTCTAGTGGCGTTGCAAAGTGCGTGTACACCACATTGTTGTTTCTTACAGGGATCTTGGCAAGTTCGAGTGGTTTTATCGCAGTATCTGTCATCGGCGCAATCATCGTTATGAGTGCACTCTATTATTTGAACTGAAATTGATTGTAATATAATTTATTATATTAATTATATTAATATTAATTAAATTATATTAATTATAGATGATGTAGAAAACAAATCTAGATATTAGAATATGCAAAATAGAAACGAATTCTTACTCTGTCTGCAGTATCCACTGGCATCTATTCTATATCCGTATTGCGTTGGACACACGCAGTGACTGTACTCGTCTATGATGAAACCCTTTTCCAGGTCGCATACGCAATAACCTTCTTCGTTTATTACCATATTGGACTGTTTGCGACAAGGTATGCACTCGTCGTGTTCATCCTTACCAAATCCAAGCGGGCAAACGCAATTGTCGTATTCATCACGAACCTGACCTCTCGGACATGCTTTCACTAGAATGATATGAAAAATGAATGTCTCTAAACGTTTTGAATATTAATTCATCAATGTAACATGTATGTTTAATTTTTAATAATTAATTTTTAGTAATTTTTAATAATTACACAATGGATCACAGCGGACAACTGCATTTCCGCGATATCCTGGAAGACATTCGCATATCATGGTCCTAATTGGGCTGGTGTCCAGGACTTTACATTCGGCATTAATGCCGCAGGGTTTGATTTTGATACATGGATTGATGCATTGTCCGTTGAAGCATGCGGTCTGAGACGGGCATTCATTATCCGCTTTGCATTTTTCTTTAACTGATAAAAGGAGCGAGAGATTAAAATCAGAATCTTTCGTCTATGAAATCTTCTATAAAAAATTCTATCTATAAAAAAAATTCTATCTATAAAATTCTATCTATAAAAAAAATAAGACTTTCTTTTCTTTACCTTTAGTACATCCTGATTTAACATCGCCGACGTAGCCAGGCGGGCACGCGCATTCTACAACGTGATTGTAAACGTTACAGTCCATGTTGCCGGTGCATGGATTCTGTGCGCAAGGATTTTCGCAACGATTGTTGATGCAGGCTCTGTTGGTCGGACAATCCGAATTGCTTCTGCATCCTAGCAGCACGCAAGAATCCCTCGGGTTGCCGCCGAAACCAGGCGGACACTCGCAGATGGCTTTGTGATTTATACCATGACATATCGCGTTCTTACCGCAGGAGGATGGCGAACAAGCCGGCACGCAATTGCGTTGGACACACGCGTGCGAACCGCTACAATCGCCATCCGTTCTACATCCTGCAACTGAAGATCGGAAGCATATTATACAATAAGTATCAATTCCTAAGTTCTTCTCGAATCTTATCGATGTAAAAAAAAAGATACTCTACCTTTTGTGCAGGCAATATCCGGATTTCCGTCGTATCCCAACGTGCACGAACATAACGGTTTGTGATTGATGACCTTGCAAACGGCGTTAGGTCCGCACGCGCAAGGATCTCGACACACCGCGTTGATGCAGGATCTCTCCGTTGGACAGTCATCGTCCTTGGTGCATTCGATCTTAAGGATCGGCTTGGTAGCCTGACAAGTACCGCTTCCGCTGCTGACATATCCGCTGGGGCACACGCACACCATGGTGCGTATCGGATACGTCGGCAGAACCCGACATTCAGACGGTTCCGTGCACGGATGTATGATCAGACACGGATTCTGACACTTGTTGCCGAGACAGGCGAGTTTGTCCGGACAGTCGCTGTCTTCCCTACATTCGGGTCTGACTTCCGGTTGGCAGTTGACGTACGGGTTACCGGTGAAGCGGGATGGGCAACGACATATCGGCAAGTGATTGAGGACTCTGCATTCCGCGCGGGACGAGCACGGATTGTCATGAACGCAAGGATCAATGCACTGCATGTTAATGCAAGAGTGATCGCCTGGACAGTCGCCGTTGCTGTAGCAGCCGATGACACGGCAACGATCCAACGGATTGCCATAATAGCCTTTGCGACAGCGGCAATCGGCTACATGATTATTGGGGAAGCATTCACTGTCGATGCCTGTGCATGGTTGATCCGCGACTAAGCACGGATTCACGCAGTTGTTATTCACGCAGGCTTTGTCGAGTGTACACTGGCTGTCGTGACGACACTCGACCGACTGACACGCGATCTCGGGATTACCCTGGTAGCCTTGCTCGCACGAGCAGATCGGCTTGTGATTCCTCACGTAGCAGACGGCGTTGGTCCCGCAGTTGCAAGGGTCGCGACACTGCCTATTGACGCAAGCCTCACGATCACTGCAATCGTCGTTCGTCGTGCACGTCCCAACGACCGTCAGTTGTACTGTGCGGAATTGGGATAATTTATTATGGATTTTTATAAAAAATTATGTAGTATATTTTAAATTGTTTAACTGATCGATTCGCGAATAATTTATCATTCTTGAACTACTTACTTGGTCGGCATACACCATCAATGTCGGTGATCCATCCCTCCGGACACGTGCAAATCATGGTCCTTACAGGCACGGTATCGAGAACGTCGCAACGAGCGTTCTCCAAGCACGGTTTGATGACTGGGCAAGGATCGATGCATTTCTCTCGGATGCATACCAATTTGTCCGAACAATCGATATCGACTCTACACTCCGGTTCTTCGTCCGCGAGACGCCGATTGCAATAGGAGAATGGATTTCCCAGAGGAATATTTTCGGGACAACGACAGGACGCCACGTGATCCTGGACGTAACAAACGGCATTCTGCGCGCAGGGTGAATTCTCGGCGCAAGGATTCACGCAGCGACCATCGTTACAAGCCAAATTGTAGGGGCAATCGTGATTCGTGTTACACTCGACCCTCTCACAATGAATTTGAGGATTACCATAATAGCCAGGACCGCAACGACAAGCTGACCTATGATTTTTACCGTAACATTCCGCATTGATGGCGCATTTATTGTCTAGGATGCAAGGATTCACGCATTGACCGTTGTAGCAGGTGGCTGCGTAATCGCACTCGCTGTCAGATTCGCAGTCGACTGAAATAGACAATCACGATTGATGGGATGTGTTGAATTAAAATTAGGAAGCCGTTATGACAAAATAAGAAATGCATGACTAAAATATATATATATACAGGATGTATCTGAAATGACGCATTAAACTTTAGAAGCGTATTCTAGAGGTCAAAATAAGACTTTTTTTCCTATGAACATGGGTCCGCAAACCTTCCTTCGAGTTAGAGGCCCTTAAAGTTTGGGGAAAAAATTGAAAATTGGCTGTATTTCAGAAAAAAAATTATTTGACCTTAGTTTTGACGTTTATATCATGACGGTTATATCCTATTATATCACCCTCTCTTGAGATAAATAAATTTGCGTTGCGAGTGTTTGGTCAATTTCATTTTCGAATTTTAGCTCGGAGGGGAGTTCATTTTCGGATCCATGTTCATTTCTTATTTTGATCTCTAGAATACGCTCCTAAAGTTTAGTGCATCATTTCAGATATGTAATAATATATCCTGTATATTATTACATAACTCTTTACACGAAAAAAGATACAATTAATTGTATTTACGTTTGAAACATCCCAACTGAGGATTTCCAGAGTAGCCTGGAGGACATACGCAAGATGGATAATGATTCACGACGTTACACTTGGCATTGGGTCCACAGTTGCAAGGATTAATACACGCTCTGTTGACACACGCATAATTTCCTGCGCATTCGTTGTTTGATACGCACTCAGGTACGATCTCCGCTGCAATATCATACATATATATATCATACATATATATCATAAAATATCATACATATATATATATACAATGTTGGGCTGTATACAATAATCTTCAAGATGTAAAATGTCTTTATTCAATTGAAATTCGTCTTACGTGGAACGCATTTGATCGTGGGAGCGCCGACATAGCCGATTGGACATTTGCAGATTGGATGGTGATCGTCAACGTGACACAGAGAGTTTCTACCACAAGGATCGCCAGCAATGCATGGATTTATGCAAAGCGAATTTATACATTGTTTATCGCGCGCGCATTCGCTATTCGTGTAACATTCCGGTCGAAGTCCTGGAAGCGATGGAGCAACAGGGACTGCAACAGAAATTTTACAATCTTGATAACGACATCACGAGAAATAATAAGATATAATTGATAGTTGTAAGAAAGACTGCAAATTGTCTTATTTTATATTTCACATTTTTTTTTACCTCTTGCGCATTCTATGTAAGCGTTGCCTGCAAAGTCCTGAGAACAGAAGCAGATACCAGTATGAGATGTAGCTTTACATTGTGCGTTGAAACCGCACTGAGTTGTCAAACAGGCGTCTACGCATTTTCCATCGAAGCACTTCTCATGATTCGCGCAATCTTGATCCAGATGACATTGTACATCGCCTAATACTGCATATACGTAAATGATTAAAAAATATCTGCGACAATAATATTTTATCTAAGCATTTTTTTAATCAGAAATCGATACATACCAAGCGGCTTGCAATTGCCGTTAACATCGGTGATCGTATTCGATGGGCACAAGCAGATTATCGTACGAAGTGGAATCGTGTTCAGGACTTTGCATTCCTGTTCACTGGTGCACATACCGGCGGACACACACGGGTCTTGACACTTGGTGTTAATGCAAACGAGATTCAAAGCGCATTCGCTGTCTTGTATACATTCCGGCTCGGAAGGTTCACCTGAGAAGAAATTAATAAGAAGTTAATACATCCAAATATTTTAGAAAATTCTTAATAATTTCATGTATTGAATTTTTTTGTTGAATTTAAGAGCTCACTTTTTAAAAAAAAATTTAATAATAGCATTCGAAGTATATAATATCAACGTACCATTGCACGTTATGTATGGATTTCCGATAGTACCCGGAGGACATGTACACTTGGGCTGATGATCGCGCGCGATACAGATCGCAGTTTCGGCACAAGCATCTTCCTCGCAAACCGGTCTGCAAACCCTGTTTAGTCGATCGCAAGCCTCATGATCGGCGCAATCTTCGTTGTAATGACAGATTGCGGAAATGCATGCCACGCGTGGGTCACCTTGAGTTCCTTGCGGGCAAATGCACTGAGCTCTGTGAGACACCGCTCTGCATTCCGCTCCTCGGCCGCACACAATATCACCAACGAGGCAAGGAGTGACACAGTTATCATTTCGACAGGTCTTGTCATAAGGACAGTCGTTATCTACCTTACATTCAGCTGCAAAGAAAAAATTATGCATAGTGAGTAGATATAATTCATAGATTTTTTTCTAATTTGTCTTAAAGTTCTTTAATTGTGCTAATAAATCATGCAAATGTATTATCGCTATTTTACAAAAAGAAATAGTAACAGCTATTATTTAAAGACTCATGTTGACGCGTACAGTTTATAAAAATTTTCAAGATATTAATTTCTGAAATAAAAGAGAAAGAGAGAGAAACAGTAAAAAAAATTTACGTTTGAAGCATTGAAGTTGCGGATCACCCGCTAAACCGCTTTCGCAGTGACAAGAGGGATGATGATTGATTGCGATACATTCTGCATTTAGACCGCAACGATTGCTGGAACACGGGTTTTGACATCGTTGATTTATACACGCTTTGTCGGACGGACATTCGGTATTCGTTCTGCATTCCGGAAGAACTACATCTTCTGTGGACGAAAGACAACAATATAAAAATATTCAATTGCTTATATTGAGAAAGAAACTGATATAATACGATACCTTCGTAGCAATTTATAAACGGATCACCGGTATATCCACGGGGACATTGACACGTGCGACGGTGATTTTCAATGTGACACTCAGCATTTGGAGCGCATGGATTAACGGTGCATGGATTGATGCACTGACGGTTCAGACAGGCCATATCTGGTGTACATTGTGAGTCGCTCTCGCATATCGCACCGATTTGTTTGTCCACTACGAAATATTCGCAATTCAATTATCATTTTATAAACTTGATGCTAATTAAATTCAATTTTTATTTTTGATTTTTATTTATATTAGTTTTAGAATTTTTCAGCAATTTTTCAGCATATTTTTATCTCTATTTTTTTTTCTATTAACATACGTATATATCTTTTAGGTAAAATTTTACCTGATACACAAGCAACTGTGGCATCGCCGGCGAAATTCGGTAAGCATTCGCAAATCATTGTTCTCATCGGTAGTGTATCTACGACACTACATTTGGCGCTTGCAATGCATGGTTTTGTTTCTGTGCACGGGTCTTTGCAAATACCATTGAAACATGCCAATTTGCTAGGACAGTCAGCGTCGACTTGACACTCCGTCTCTGGTTCTAGTAAGTCTAGAATAGCAATAGTCAGTATTAAAGTTTTTAATGTAAGAAATGAGTAATTATTAACGATTTCGATAATAATTATCTCAAAACAAAATCTATTTTAAATAATCACTTATTGAAATTTTCTCAATTTTACTAATAATAATTTAATAATTTGCAATACCGATTACATGAAAAATTTATTTCTTCTAATTTATTCTCTTCAGTCCTTCACGAGCCTTATAATATTGAATTCTTACCTAAAAGGCATGAGTTGTAAGGATTGCCTATATAACCAGGTGGACATTTACAAGTTGGCCGATGATTGGCGACAGTGCATAGTGCCGATGGTGGACAATTGCAAGGATTAACGCATTTCAGATCACGACAGGCTAAGGACGAAGCGCAATCGTTGTTGCTGATACACTCGGGCCTCTCACATATTTCGTAAGGATTACCCGTGTATCCATCAGGACAATAGCATCGAGTCTTGTGATATCCATCAGCGGTACACAATGCGTTGATGCCGCATTGCGTAACCAGACAGGTATCGATGCATTCGTTGTTGATGCAAGATTGAATCAACGGACATTCATTATCGTTACGACAACCGACTGAAAAAAATATTATTAAAGTTGATAGCATATATAATTATATGAAAAATGTGTCAATTAAATAATTTATATATACTTTGGTGACAGTATTGCTGAGGCCTTCCGGTATAGCCTTCATTACAAACGCATATAGGTCTATGCATTATCACGTGACAGCGACTATTAAGACCGCAAGAATCAAGAGTGCACGGATCGACGCATTTTTGATTGAAACAAGTTTTGTCATTCGAGCATTCGGAATTTTGGGTGCATTCTGGAACCGGTTCTGTAAACATATAAATTTAATACGATGAAAAAAAATCCCTTCCTCAATATATCTAAATTAAAAATTAATTATAATATATTAATTCTAATATATTATATCTAATATATTAATATAACATTTCGGAAACTAAATTTCTTTTTATTAAAAAACTTAATTTTAATATTTCGGTAATTAAATTATAATTCGTGTGTCCATAAAATAATGTAACACGATTATAATTTTTCAAAAGATTTTGATAATAAAGGTATGTTTAAAAAATATATCAATCACAGATATATTTTGGATATAAATGTTACCTTCGAGGGTTGGGATTGTACATTGCACTCGTGCATTGCCCGTGAATCCAACTGGACAAGAACAGATTGGTTTATGATTAACGGTCTGACAGATGGAATTGATACCGCAGACGCCGATGCAGGGATCTCGACACTTTTGCGTGAAGCAAGCCTTGTCACGCGGACAATCTGAATTAATAACGCACTCGGGATAGATGCAAATCGCGATGCCGTTTTTCACTCTACACTCGCCGTTATAATTGCAAGGTGATGGACTGCATGGATTAGTTTCTGAAAAGAAGAAAAAAAAGTGTGCGTGTGTTTTAAAATGATAGAAAGCCATATTTAAAAATTAATATCAGAATTTTCTCTATTTACCGATCTTTGTGTAGCATTCCTCGAAAGGATTGCCGATTAACGAAGATGGACAGCTGCAAAGTGGACTGTGATTGATCGTCTTGCATACTGCTTTACTACCGCATACATTTTGAGAACAAGGATCTTTGCACTTATTCTGTATGCAAGCCTTGTCGCCTGGACAATCCGAGCTAAGTACACACTCCGGATGGCAACCGGTTACACTCGTTGGAACACCTTGCAATCCAGGTAGACATTTACAAATTGCAGTACTGCCGATTGTCTCGCAAACAGTATTCGGGCCGCACGGTGAAGGATAGCACGGATCCTTTTCCTTAGAATCTATAAATGCAAAGAAACATGCAACGAATAACATTTATCACAGAGAGAAAGAAAAGCTTGAGAGATGTCTTGTGTAATTTTTTCTGTTTTGCAAAGTGACTTCAATTTAATTTCAAAAGAAATAAATAGATAAATATTAAATCTAACGAAATAATAAGAGATAGCGAAGTTACCTTCTACGGGAACTCGACAAAGTGTGAAAGCATCTCCAATCGTTGGTAACGGACAAGAACAAATGGGAACGTGATTGGATACCGTGCAGATCGCACCAACGCCGCAAGTACCAGGGCAAAGATCTTGACATCTCATTCTTATGCATGCTTGAGATTTCGGGCAGTCGGTGTTCACAAGGCATTCAGGTTGACATCCTTGATACGGGTTGCCTCTGTAGTTCGATATGCACTCACAAATGGCTGTGTCGAATCTCTCGTAGCAATACGCGTTTGTTCCGCATGGTGAGGGATTACAAGGTCTAGAAGATACTGGCGGTGCTGGAGTTGCTAAAATAAACAAAAAATATACAATTAAAATCTCACTATTGCAATTACGTTTCAATTCTTGCATGCATATAATATATATTATATCATATATATTATTGTAATATAAAATTAACGCGATTAGAAATATATATATTTTCATATAATACATATATAAAATTAACAAATGTACACGTTTTTTTATACATGCATCTTCTATACATGTAAAAAAAGTGCAGCATGATGCATATATTTAAAAAGACATATTGCGCATATAAATAGTAAAAAATGATATTTAGAAAATGTTGCAAGAGTGATCGATATGTGAAAGAAACTGACGTGCAGTTTTTTAAATACATCTTAAATGCATCATTATATACAATATGATATTTACACATTTAGAGATGAAAATTCAGGATTTAGAGATTAAAATGTCGAAATAATATTTATCAGAGGTCAACTCCTAAGATAGCGGGGATTTTCTTACATATGATCTTAGAGCAAACTGTGAATGGGTCCCCAGTGTATGATTCGGGACAGGTGCATCGGGCTTGGTGCAAAGTGACTTGGCACAGTGCATTGAATCCGCACAATCCAATGCACGGGTCGGTGCATTTCTGCTTAATGCATGCTCGATTGTTGGGACATTCGCTGTTTGCGCGGCATTCGGGTTTACAATTGGGCGGAGATCCTATGTAGGTTGGTATACAGGAACAAGAGGGTTTATTATCGACGGATACCACGCATTGCGAGTTCAATCCACATGGTGAGGGGTAACATGGGTCCTTGCTGGGTTCTACATCCGATGTTGCTGGCAATGAAAAAAAAATCATTATTTGTTTAAAAAAAATCAGGGAAAAAACATTTACGAAAAGATAACTAAAAGAGACATCACAAAAATATCTAAACAATACTCTCTTATGGGTTAAAACGCTTTTTTTTTAAATATTTTTGCAACATCTCTTAGGCATCTTTGCATTATTTGGACCCTTCTGTGGGGTAGTTACTTACTTATGGGGAAACAGTTGATGAACGGATCACCGGAATGCCGATCAGGACACCTGCAAATGGGATTGTGATTTCGCGTTATACACAGTGCATTCAGTCCGCAAGTATTTTCGCAGGGATCACGACATCTTGTATTCATGCAAGTCTTGCTCTGCTCACAATCGGTGTTAACAAGACATTCGGGCCTGCAACTTGGCGGGATTCCCAAGTAACCGGGTAGACAAGAGCAGGAAGCTTGATCGCCGTATTCGCGACAGATGCTGTTAGGTCCGCAGGGGGAGGGTTCGCAGGGTTTGGTTCGCGCTATCGAGATGTAAGATGGTTAAATTAGTTTCTTCTAATAACAGAGTTCTTTTCGAGAAAAAGACGACAGATTATAAACAGATTAAGACACTCACTTTGCACACGTTTACAGAGCGTGAATGGGTCACCTTCATAATCCTGGATACAACTACATGTGGCTATGTGATTGACGACCGCGCATTCCGCATTCTGGCCACAAATTCCATTGCAAGGATTTATACACTTATTATTCGCGCAAGCTTTATTGTATGGACAGTCGGAATTCTGTATACATTCCGGTCGACACTCTCGATATGGATCGCCACGATATTCGGATATGCAAGTGCAGATACCGTTACGGCACTCGGCATTGAGTCCACATGGTGACGGATTACATGGGTCTGTTGCTACTGGTGGAATATCTGTATCGGGAGACGCAAATATGCATAACAATAATTGTTTTCTACGATGTGCTTCTTACGAAAATATAATAATGCAAGCTATAATTTAACGAAAACTCTTACACATGGGTGCTAGGTAACAACTGTTGAAGGGATCGCCTGTATATCCGTCAGAACATGTACACGATGGAGTATGATTAATCACAGTACACAAGGCATTAACGCCACAGGATCCGGGGCAGGGGTCTCTGCATTTCTCTCTAATGCAAGCTTTATTGCTGGTACAATCAGAATTAATCGAACATTCGGCACGGCAATAAGGTGGCGATCCGATGTAATTAGGCATGCACGCGCAAGACGAATAACCTCCCCTGTCTTGACACGTGGAAAACGGACCACAGGGCGACGGAACGCAAGGGTTAACTTGTATCGATGGTGTAGGTGTCACTGAAAAGAGATGAAATAATACAGGACTTTCGTATGCAAAACGCATTTTATCGTGCGAAAACTTACGGGGCATGTCGAAACACTTGACGAAGGGATCTCCGATCTGATCGGATCCGCAGCTGCAGAATGGACTGTGAGACAAGACGGTGCATTTGGCGTTGATGCCACACACACCTGGACACGGATCAACGCATTTCTGATTGATGCATGCACGATTCATGGGGCATTGAGTACTAACAACACATTCGGCTTTGCAGTCGGGAGGAGTTCCTTGATAAGTGGGCAGACACGAACAACTAGCTTTTCCATTTACGTTAAGACATTGACTGTTCGGACCGCATGGAGACGGGTTGCAAGGATTACCTATTGGTGTCGGAGCTGTACAAGATTAATCACACGGTAATATATAAAGGCAATATATAAAGGTGATCGACAGACATGATGCACTTACGAGTATCTTGTATGGGTCCGCAGTATCTAAATGGATCTCCGGTAAATCTTGACTGACAACTGCACGTGGGTATGTGATTGATAACTTCGCAAATTGCATTGAGACCGCACGTTCCCGGACATGGGTCCTGACACTTGTTTCTTACACAAGCTCGATTGGATGTACAATCGGAATTAATTACGCATTCAGGTCTACAACCCTCATACGGATTTCCGTAGAAATCGGGCAAACAAATGCAGGATGCCGAATTGAAAACCTCGCGACACATCGCATTCGCACCACACGGTGATGGTTGGCAAGGATTTAATGAAGCAAGCGGTGTATCGACTAAAATAGAAAGGTGTAAATTATTTATCAATAAGTATCAAACAATTATACAAAGTGGCCCCAAACGTTCCAGCCAGACTTTTAGATCTTATAGGAAATTTAATTCTGAACAAAAAATTTCCTATAAACATGGGTCGAAAAATGCTTCCTTAAGAAGTTATCGCTCAAAAACCTCTGATGAAGGAAGAGTAAAAGGTGAAAAGAAAATGAAATAAAAAGAAAATGAAACTAAATAAATTTCTTGAAAAACGTCTTTATTCGTTTTCTATTATTATGTGCTATTACTAAAATATTAGTTAAAAAAAATTATTTTATTTTCATAAAAGAAAAAGATTTTTATTTTTTATTTTTATCGTTTTTTTCAAGAAATTTATAGTTTCATTTTCTTTTTATTTCATTTTCTTTTCACCTTTTGCTCTTCCTTCATCAAAGGTTTTTGACCGATAACTTCTTAAGGAAGTATTTTTCGACCCATGTTTATGGAAATTTTTTGCTCAGAATTAAATTTCCTATAAGATCTCAAAGTCTGACTGGAACGTTCGGAGCCACCCTGTATATGTTCAACATTTTCATTGCAAAAATGGATGAGGAATAATGTTACAAAAATTGGGTAATGCACTTTTCGCGATATTTTGCTATGTTTCTTCGAAACTTACCCGGTCGGGGGTTACATTGAATGAATGGATCGCCGGTAAAATCATTGGCGCAAATGCACATTGGGGTGTGACTGACGGTTCTACATTCCGCGTTTCTACCGCACGATCCCGGACAAGGATCCCGGCATTTTTGATTAATGCAAGCCTGTTGACTGAGACATTCGCTGTTACTGATACACTCTGGTTTACATCTAGGCGGAATTCCGACGAACTGGGGTAGACACGAGCATGATGGGGCGTTGTTGAGAACTCGGCAAACCGCGTTCGAGCCGCAAGGTGAGGGTTGACAGGGATTTATCGATGGTTTCGGTTCTTCCACTGCAATTTGAACAAGGAACGGTCTATTTCGATATTATGTAACGTAATGACATAAATCTCCCGGTTGCAGAAGAAATTCTTACGTTGTGGTACGCATTGAACGAACGGATCTCCTGTGTACGGTGGCGGGCAGCTGCATATAGGATTGTGATTCACAACAGTGCATTGCGCACTTAATCCGCACGCACCGAGACATGGATCGATGCACTTCTGATTGCTGCAGGCTCTATTGCGAGCGCAATCGACGCTTATGAGACATTCCGGTCTGCAAGATGGCGGGGTACCTTTAAATCCAGCGATGCACGTGCAAATCGCTTGACCGTTGGACACGCGACAGTGACTGTTTGGACCGCACGGGGATGGATTACACGGTTGAGATTCCACGATGATCGAATCTATTTATAATAAGAATTACTATTCGTGTCGGGAGATATTCAAAAATTACCAGGTTAAATAGCGACGAGTTATAAAATATCACGGTGGCATACAAACCTTGAAGAGCCGTGCACGAAATGAATGCGTTGCCGGTCATATTTCTCGGGCAACCGCACATTGGCAAATGATTAATGACATTACATTCCGCGTTAAAGCCGCATGTTCCGACGCACGGATCGCGACACTTATGGAGCATGCATGCCTTGTCCCGAGAACAATCGGCATTAATAACGCATTCTGGTCGGCAGCCGACATACGGGTCTCCGAAGTATTCGGATATGCATGTACAGATTCCATCATTGCATCGGGCATTCTGGCCGCATGGTGAGGGATTACATCTGTCTGGGGGCGGTACTGAAATATGCATATAAATTGAATGCTCACTAATTTTCTTATAATAATATCCTGAAAAACAGAATTCTTACGAGGTCTTTGAGGCACAGTATTGCAACCCACGAAAGGATCGCCGGTGTATCCTTCGGGACACACGCAGGACGGCGTATGATTGATCACCGAACAACGTGCCAGGAAGCCGCACGAGCCTGGACAAGGATCTCTACATTTTTCTCTAATGCAAGCTTTATCGGCGGGACAATCCGAATTTATCGAGCACTCGGGTCGACAGTTGGGTGGAGCACCGATGTAATTCTGCATGCAACTACATGCCGGGGCATCACCGATAGCTCTACATAGGGAATTGGGTCCGCAAGGTGACGGCAAGCATGGGTCCTTCGGGTATTGATCTTCTGGTTTTGAAACTATAGAAAAATATAGAGAATATATTATAATATTTTTTCGTTCAAAAATGCGCGGAAAAATGGATACGATTAAAGTTAAAATTGATCGAATTAATTCTTTTTCGTTAGCTGTCTTTAAACTTTAAAACAAGATATTAAAAACATGATATTGTGCATTCAAGATATTCTGTATAAACATACTTGGCATTGCAAAGCAATAGATGAACGGATCGCCCGTGAAGCCATTCGCGCATACACAAATTGGGCTGTGATGTATGACCTTGCATTGAGCGTCACGGCCGCAGGTGCCGATACACGGATCTACACATTTTTGATTCACGCATGCTCGGTTCGATCCACATTCTGAATTTACTAAGCACTCTGGTCTGCAATTCGGTGGGGTTCCGATAAATTCGGGCAAACAGGAGCAGACAGCTTGATCATTATTATTAGTGCATTGACTGTTGGGACCGCAAGGAGAAGGTTTGCACGGTTCACGCTTTTCATCGGAAACTATAATAATAAATAACGTAATGTTACATTTAAAGAGTCAATCATATTATACGTTCTATAATACTTCGCACTCCTTTAAACGTTACTTACTGTCAAGAGCCTGATAAATGCAATTTATATACGGATTGCCAGTGTAGCCTTGGATACAAGTGCAAACAGGGATATTGTTGACAACTTGGCAATTGGTATTAACACCGCACGAGCCAGGACATGGATTCTGACACTTGGATCCGATACAAGCTAAATGCGCGGGACAATCTGAAGAAATGATACATTCGGGACGACATCCTTGATAAGGATTTCCAATGTATTCGGGCAAGCATGTACAAGAACCAACGCCATTTTGTTCCCTACACACGGCGTTCGTTCCGCAAGGTGATGGTTGGCAAGGTTGACTTGGTACCGATAATGTGCCTAAAAAAATGTAATGTTTCATCCTATCATAATAATCAATCTGGTTATAAATAATATTTTCGCGCGCGCGAGTATGATAAATTTCTTATTCATTAAAAAAATAACAAATTAAAATCTAACTCTAACAAGAATTCTATTATAAATTGATTAACACTGTTCGTAAAAAGGGATACTTAAAAAAAAGTCAATCACAAACTTACTGGGCATGATTGCGCACTGAACAAATGGATCGCCTGTATAACCGGCAGGACACGAGCAAATCGACACGTGATTAACAACGTTGCAACTGGCCAAGGAATGACAAGAGCCAGGGCATGGATCTCTGCATTTGCGATTAATACACGCCATTTGATTTGGACATTCGCTGTTACCGATACATTCCGGCCTGCAACTTGGTGGTGTTCCAATAAACTCGGGCATGCAAGAACACGATGGTGCGTCGTTGACGACTTGACACTGAGCATTGGGACCGCAGGGCGAAGGTTGGCATGGATTTATCGGTTTTGGTACATCTTCCGCTTGAAGATAAAAATACAATCTCAAATAACGCGGGTTATAAGACACAATTTGTTGCTATTCGACATGAATGCATATATGAAGATTTTTTTAAAAATAGAAAAAGGAACCTACGTCTTGGTATGCAACGTACGAACGGATCGCCAGTAAATACGGGAGGACAGCTGCAGATTGGATTGTGATTCAATACTTGGCAACGAGCGGAAATACCGCACGAACCGAGGCAGGGATTGCTGCATTTCGTGTTGATGCAGGCTTCGTTTAGCGCACAATCAGTATTCACTATGCATTCGGGACGGCAAGCGGGCGGACTTCCTATGAATCCAGGTATACACGTACATACTGCTTGATTATTAAAACTCTGACATCGACTGTTCGGGCCACAGGGCGATGGATTACATGGGTTTTCGATGACTGTGGGATCTGCAAGAGCGTTATTGCCGAAATCATTAACAGATGTTTAAATCTTTTGCGACGATATGAAATATTTTTTTTACAAAAAGAGCCAATATTCATCTCATAAAAACGTTTGATTATCGACAGATTTACCTTGAACGATCGGATAACACGCTGCAAATGCATTGCCGGACATTCCGTCAGGACAAGCGCACATCGGGGTATGATTTATTACTGTGCACTTTGCGTTTTGTCCGCAAACTCCAATACACGGGTCGAAACATTTGTTACGAACGCAGGCTTTGTCTAACGGGCAATCTGGATTTTGCACGCATTCGGGTCGACATGCGGTATAAGGATCACCTTGATACTCGGGCAGACAGGTACAAGTGCCGTCACGGCACATCGCATTGGCTCCGCATGGGGATGGATTACAAGGATCTTGTGGTACAGCTGCAAATATTATTACTTATCTTAAACAAATATGGTATCTTAAAAACAAAATGCTGAAGGTATAAAATATAATGTCGCACATTTTGTGTTTAAAAATATCTCATTATTTTATAATTTCAATCACCCTTTCACTCGAGATAAAAATATTAAAATATATTACATCTGATTAAGATCTGATAGAATATTTATACAATTTCATACTTCACGATTTTATTAATGCTTGATAAATCATGTATTTAAAAAAGCATGTATTTATGTCTCCATTTTTGTTTCTTCAATTATAGGGGTGATATATTATAAAATAATAAGGGTAAAAGAATAAAAGCTTACGAGGAGGTTCTGGGGAGCAATTGACAAACGCATCTCCGGTGTAACCCTTCGGACAAAGACAGACGGCCATGTGATTAACCACGAGACATTGCGCTCCGATACCGCAAGAACCTGGGCATGGATCTCGACATTTTTGTCTCAAGCATGCCCTATCGCTGCTGCATTCGGAATCCACGGTACATTCTGGCCGACAGTTCGGGGGGCTACCGATGTAATTTTCTAAGCACGTACAGGTCGGCACGTTTGCGTAGCCGCTATCGCGACAAATGGCGAATGGACCACAAGGAGATGGAACGCATGGATTTTGTGGCGTCACAGGAGATGTATCTTCATTTATCTCTGTGAATAATTTCTATTATATTTGCGCCCAAAATTCTGTATTGTGATTCTTTAATTAAAGCATCGCTTTAATTTTGAAAAATGCGCGATATCTTATTTTGTTAGAAGAGAATCAAATATAAAAAAAAGTTTTACTTTAAAAAGATTTTCTCTCGCTAAATCAAATATCATGGGAGACGATGCATTAAAAAAGCAATTCAATTTTTAATTATTTTATAGGCGTACTTACGCATTTGGAAGCATGTTACGAAGGGATCGCCAGTAAAACCTTGATTACAACTACAAATCGGGCTATGATTTATCACTTCGCATCTTGCATTGATACCACAAATACCAGGACATGGATCAACGCATTTGCGGTTTTTGCATGCACGATTCACGGGACAATCGGAGCTAACAGTGCATTCTGCGCGACAATTTGGCGGGGTTCCGATAAATGTAGGTAAGCAGGAACATATTGCTTGACCGTTTAATTCACGACACTGACTGTTAAGGCCACAGGGAGAATCGCTGCACGGATTACGTTCTACTGCTAAAAAAAGATTTTTATAAATTAGATTTTACATAACATAATAATTTTGATTTATCGAAAAAATTAAATGCCAGAAAACTATTTGAAAATATTGATTTATATTAATTTGCTTAATATTTCCTTGTGAAATTTATCATGTACAAATGTTATTGCATTGCTTAATTAATTACGTTAATTAATTGCTGGATTTTTAATTTTGAAAATAAAATATTTTAATAAATTTCTTGCAAATTAAAAAAATTATTAGATTATATCGAACTAAAAATTTCCTGCGCGAGTCTCTAAATCACTTACTCGTATCTTGCATAATTCTATTACACGAGACAAATGGATTGCCGCTATATCCAGGTTGACATGTGCACAATGGCGCGTGATTCACTACTTGACAAATTGCATTGTATCCACAAAAACCTGGACAAGGATTTTGACACTTCGATCCGATACATGCACGATCTGCGGTGCAATCGGAATTTATCGTACACTCGGGACGACATCCTTCGTATGGATTGCCTGTATAATCTGATTGACATGTGCAGGAACCAACACCGTTTAATTCGCGACATATCGCGTTAAAACCACACGGTGATGGAATACAAGGTGTTGGTTTTACAGCATTTATGACATCGCCTATAAAAATTTCAATTATGTTCAGATACACTTTTAATAATAATTTTGATTACTATTAAATCATATTTTGATTGCTAATAAATCATCAAAATAGAAAAATTATCGGACATATACATATTTTCAATTACTGATGTTAAAAGACAAATTTAAGAAGATAATAATAATTGTCATATAACGAGGACAAATTTAAGAAGATAATAATAATTGTCATAATTTCGAATATATCAAATTTAAAAAATATAAATAACACACATCATAAAATAACAGTTACGCATAAATAATAATATGTAATAACTCTACAATATACATAAATAGATATAAATAATAACAGTATATGTATATTTTCTTCTCAATTAATTTTAATAAGAGAGAGTTTAATATATAATTGCCATTTAATATTAAAAATTGAAAATTTGTTATGGAATATCTGTTATTGGAACCGCATTTTGTGGTTCTAAATCATCCTAAACATGAATACATGATTTACACTTACTTTGTTTGGGATTACATAGCATGAATGGATCACCTTCGAATCCGTCAAGGCAAATGCACATAGGTGTATGGCTTATTACTCGACAATCAGCATTAATACCGCAAGAGCCCGGACATGGATCGCGACATTTCTGATTGATACATGCTAATTGCGTGGAACACTCGCCATTACTAACGCATTCCGGTCTACAATTCGGCGGATTACCGATGAATTCGGGCAAACAGGAACATGAATACGCATTGTTTATAACTTCGCATTTACTGTTAATTCCACACGGGGACGGGATGCAGGGATTAACCGGTACTGGAGATTCTATTGCTGTTGGAAAAATAAAGAATGCAATGTTTTCCTAAATATTTAACCAATGTCTGACAAGTACATTATACTTTTCAGTTACTCACGTCTCGGGATGCACTGAGTGAAGGGGTCACCGGTCAACTCGGAGGGACAAGAACAAATCGGATTATGATTGACAACTACACATTGCGCTCTAATGCCGCACGTTCCGGGGCAGGGATCTATGCATTTCCGATTATTGCAGGCCATGTTAGCGGGACAGTCGGAACTGATAATGCACTCAGCTCGACAATTAGGTGGTGCGTCCAAATATCCAGGGAGACAAGAACAGACAGCTTGTTCCTTTACCTTTCGGCACTGGCTGTTCGGGCCACACGGTGTGGGATTGCATGGATCTTCCGTTATCGAGTCTATGTAAATATTAAGAAGTAGACGGTTACAAGAGAGGGAAATAGCAATTCAATTATTAACATCGACCGTTTGAAACGTTTCGAAATTGATCGCTTGAATGAGTACCTTCTATCGGGGAACACATTATAAAGGCATTGCCGGACATTCTCGGCGCACAAGTGCAAATCGGTATGTGATTTCCGACAGAACACAAGGCATTGAGACCGCAAATTCCGAGGTCACATGGATTCTGACACTTGTTCTTAATGCAAGCTCTGTCTCTCGGACAATCGGAATTCAGAATACATTCCGGACGACATCCAAAGTATGGATCTCCTTGATATTCAGGGAGGCAAGAACATACACCATTAAAGCATTGCGTATTTGCACCGCAATTTAAACATGGATCCGTTGGTGTGAGTGTTGTATCTGAGGAACATGAATTTTAGCATTCAACGAAGTCAAGTATTTTTAAATTTTCTTAAGAGAACGTGACAAATATTTTTCAAATTGATGAAGTTTGTCTATTTTTATAACACGTGTTGATATCCTAAATATTTGTTACAGATTAAATCTTACCTTCCTCGGAAACTGGTCTACACATTACGAATGGATCACCGGTAAATCCAGTGAGACAAGAACATATGGGTGTATGTTGATGAATGCTACAAGTTGCTTGTACACCGCACACGCCATCGCAAGGATTTCGACACTTTCTCTGTATACATGCCTGATTAGTCGAACATTCTGAGTTAATTGTACATTCAGGTCTACAATTGGGTGGTGTTCCTATATATGTCGATAAACAAGCACACGATGCTTGACCGTTAATGTCACGGCATTCCGAGAAAGGTCCGCAGGGTGTAGGTGCGCAAGGATTCACAAGTGGACGAGGCTCTTCATCTTTAGCTATAGAGATAAAAATGATCTTAGCTCTCGAATGTCTTCAATAAAATGTTAACATTATTTCTCTAAACAAATAAGTGAAATTGAATTTAAAAGAAGAGAAAAAGAATTATTAATATTCACAAAGTCGAAAGACATTATATATTTAAGATGCGGTCTTGAGTCAAAGGATACACAAAGTTAGAAGAAAATTTTTTGAGACAGTATATTCGCGCGTGCATAGTTTTGAAAAAATATTTCCTTCGAAAAATTAATTTAATCTACTTAATTTATATTCTTGATTTCTTACGTGGCATTTCAAAGCAGGCAATGAATGGGTCGCCAGTAAAACTAGGCGGACACGAACATATGGGATTATGATTGATCGTTTCACATCTCGCATTAGAACCGCACAATCTAGAACTACTGCGGCAAGGATCGCTGCATTTATTCGAGATGCACGCCAGACTAAAGGCGCATTCGGTGCTAATAGTGCACTCGGGGCGACAATTTGGTGGGCTACCTAAGAAGGCGGGTAAACAAGTGCAGACACTCGTACTATCCACTACGCGACACAAGCTATTAGGTCCACAAGGTGATGGTTCGCAGGGGTTACTGACAGTACTGTCTCCTTCTAAAAATTTTACATAGTATATTTTCCAAATGAATGTAATAAATTCTTGTAATAATAAAAATATCGTGCGATAAAATATGTTAAATTTCACAGCATATCGCACCTATTTCTACCGGGCTGCAATATAAGAAAGCGTTGCCAGTATATCTGGGATAACAATTGCAAACCGGCAAGTGGTTGATTACTTGGCATAATGCATTGCGTCCACACGATCCCGGACATGGATCTCTACATTTCGTATTTATGCAAGCCAGATTAGCAGGACAATCCGAATTCAAGATGCATTCTGGTCTGCATCCTTCGTACGGATTACCAATGTAATTCGGTAAACATGTACATGAACCAGCACCGTTGAATTCCTTGCATACTGCATTGGAGCCGCAAGGAGAGGGGGTGCAAGGATCAATCGGTGACAATGGTGTGGCTAAAAAACGACATTAATAATAAGTAATGGAATTTGTATTTAAAAGAGAGAAATTTGTCTCCGCATAAATCAGCAGAATTGGGAAGTAACGCAATATCGTTAATTTCGCAAATTTCGTTTGTGACGAAACAAATAATTTTATATTTTACGATAATAACAAATTCAATTTTTTGAAGTTGCATAAAGTTAAAGATGATTTTGAATATTGAATCTATTAAAAGAAAAGCTAAAAAATACTCTTTTTTTATTTACGGAATTTGAAGGTTTCAAAGAAATAAATTTTTTTGCAACTTTTAAAAAATAAATTTTTTTGTAAACATATTAATATTCTAAATTATTATCAAAATTATTATCAAAATTATTATTTTTGATAACAATATCAATAACAATATCAATATGAACTTACATCAATTTGTTGTTATATTTTAATATAAACGAAATCTCTAATATATGTAAATTTTCTATATGTATATGTTATATTATGTATTTTACATGTATATGTCATATATGACTTGAATTTGATAATAGCGTCAAAAATAATGGAAATTAAAACAATTCATTATTTTTTGAGATAACGAGCTACTTATACGTATAAAATAACTTCCCCAATTCTATAAACTAGATAATAAATTGAAATCAATTTAATTTCGATCTGATTTTTATCTGATTTTAATACTATAAACACAAAAAGATAATTTCTATGTTTATTCGCGCAATAATTCATATAAGATACGTATCTAATCCACATTGAAAGTTTAGCAAATCGAAATTACATCAGTTTTAATTTTTCTGGTACTTACGTTCTCTGAAAATGCATTGCGTGAATGGATCACCGGTGAAACCATCCACGCAAGAACACATCGGGGTATGACTGACAACGTGACAATTAGCATTCGCACCACAAGAACCAACGCACGGATCCTGACATTTTTGATTAATGCAAGCCAAGTGATTAGCGCATTCGCTATTACTGACGCACTCTGCTCTGCAATTAGGCGGAGTGCCGATAAAATTGGGTAAACATGTACACTCAGATCTATCATCGCGCGCTTGGCAATATGAATTTGGACCACACGGATTTGGTTTACATGGCGTAGGAGGTGACGGTAACTCTTGAGCTAAAAATTGCAAAATTCAATTTACAAAAAGAAAGAAAAAGAAAGAGCAAAAATTTTCTTAAAAATTCTACATTGATTGGGATTACATTGATTGTGAATACTGACGTAATTTAAGCGTACTTACGTGCTTCTTGGTAACATCTAACGAAAGGATCGCCGGTTTGAAGAGGAGGGCAAACGCAAATCGGATTATGATTCACTACATGACACAGGGCATTTAATCCGCAACTTCCTGGACAAGGATTTGTACATTTTTGATTGCTACAAGCCTCATTTTGTGGACAATCCGTGCTGACTATGCATTCAGGTCTGCAGGTTGGGGGGCTACCTAAATATCCTCTTACACAGGAACAGACTGCTTGATTGTTTATAACGCGACATTCGCTGTTTGGTCCACAGGGCGAAGGGGCGCATGGATTAGCGGGTGGCATATCTAATACAAAAGTAACGGGCATTGAATCTTCGGGAATCATTTACAAAAAATTGTGATTTGTTTAATTTCGCAATATTGAATCTGAAAGCGATTTTTATCGCTTTAAAACGGGATCTTCATATACCTTGTAAAGGCGTGCATTGACTAAATGCATTGCCAGTCATATTTCCAGGACAACTGCACATGGGAACGTGACCGATTACCGTGCATAATGCGTTAAGGGCGCAAGCTCCGGGGCACGGATCTAAACATTTATTACGCATGCACGCTCTATCGCGAGGACAGTCGGCATTTAGGACACATTCCGGACGACAACCTACATATGGATCTCCTCGAAACTCTGGTATACAACTACAAACACCGTCTGAGCATTCCGCGTTGGGGCCGCAGGGTGAAGGGATGCAGGCGTCTTCGACTGGAGATGGAATTGCTGCAAAATATATAATCGATATACTCACGATACAAGTGATAAAGTGAACTCAAATTATACTCCCGGCCAGTCTCAGGATACGTGGCATATCGAATAAATCTTGATAGCTTACGTGTTGTTACAATCTCGCAGAGAATAAATGTATTTCCTGTGTATCCTTCGGGACATCTGCATGTGGGAATGTGATTAATGACTGAACACAGGGCATTAGTACCGCACGAGCCGGGGCACGGATTAACGCATTTCATGTTGATGCAAGCTCTATCGCTCGGGCATTCCGAGTGTATGATACACTCAGGTCGGCAATTAGGTGGCTGACCTATGTAATTTTCCAAGCAAGTACACGCGGGAGAACCGCCGATACTTCTGCATTGAGAGAAACTACCGCATGGGGATGGCAGGCATGGATCTTTTTCAATTATCGATGGTGTTACAGCTGAAAGACATTCGGAGTTACATTTGACGACGATTGCCATGTGGCATACAAAGGATAACATTGATTGGATTAAAAAAATGTAATTCTTCATGTATTCGATGTACGGTCTTACGTGGAATTAATGTGCATATGGTGAAAGGATCTCCACTGTAACCGGGCATACAACTGCAGATCGGGCTGTGATTAACGATCATGCAATTGGTATTGAGTCCACATGGGCTTGGACAGGGACTCACGCATTTGTAGTCCTTGCATGCTAATTGCGGGGGACATTCTGAGCTAGCGATACATTCGGGTCTACATGCAGGTGGAGTTCCAACGTACGTTGGCAGGCATGAACAGACTGCCTGTCCAGATACTTCTTTGCATTTGCTGTTGGGTCCGCAGGGTGACGGGGCACAAACGTTTTCATCTGAGATTATTTCTGGGAAAAATTTCATTGATTAATGTAATATGCAGGTAAAAAGTATATATATATATATATATATATATATATATATATAAAATTTCATTGATTAATGTAATATGCAGATAAAAGAGTATATATGTTTCCATCTTAAATTTAAAAAAAATGTTTCTATGAACAATGTTTCTTATAATCACATTTTATAAAATTATCAACAATTAAAAATATATTTTTCATAAAATAAATTATGCATTAAGATTTTATTAGTAACGTAAGAATATTATATATATATATATATATATAAGTTTCTTAAGTTTTTTAACATTTAAAATACTATCTTATATGATATTTAAAATTTGCAATATTATTTTTCTGAAAATATAATATTGCAAATTTTAAATATCATATAAGATAGTATTAAATGTTAAAAAACTTAGGAAATTTTTTTCATATTTCTAATTTTCTTTTTCTCACAAATACTATATGTAAAATTAAAATTTTGTGAATGAAAAAATGTTGATTAGTAATGTCATCTCATAAAGAATGCCTCCTCTCAATTTTAATGCATATTAGATACAACGAAAATTTATAAAGACTAATAAAAAGGTATTGCAATATAGATTATATCACAAGCAAATTTATTAAAAAAATTTTGGTTAAACAAAATTGGAGCTGTGTAAGATTGATGGCACTTACTCTCCACGAAACAAGAAACAAAAGGATCTCCAGTATATCCGGGGATACACGTACACATCGGTTGATGATTAACAACCGAGCAATCGGCATTTTGGCCGCACACGCCTGCACAGGGGTTGACGCACTTATTTCTTATGCACATCAAATTGGATGGGCAATCGGGATTGATAACGCATTCGGGTCGACACGCTAAATAAGGATTGCCAGCATAATTAGAGGTACACTGACAAATTGCGATGCCGTCTCGCTCTCTACATATCGCGTTCGTGCCGCATTCAAAATTTGCGCAGGGCGATGGTTTTGGTTCCAGTTCTTGTTCGTAAGCTAAAACAGCGCAAAAGGGTAGACAGGATTAAGCAATGTCGTGTAAAAAATGTACGGACTAGTTTTCTCAAGATTTTTCTTACGAGGTATCATCGAGCAACGCGTATACGGGTCACCGGTGAGACCGTAGGAACAGACGCAATGAGGTATGTGTTGCACCACATGGCATTCCGCACTCTCTCCACATAGACCTGGACAGGGATCTATGCATTTTTGCCGCACGCAACTCTGATGACCGGGACATTCGGAATTGGAGATGCACTCGGGTTGACAATACGGAGGCGAGCCTTTATACTCGGGCAGGCACGAACAAGAGGGCATATCGTTAATGACTTGACACTGAGCGTACGGACCGCAGGGCGAAGGTTGACAAGGGTTTATCGCAGGAGCTACTGGTCCTAGAGTAATAAATGTTTTCTATTTTAGTAGATGGCCGGGGCGGATTTATGCTTTGTATTGATTTTACGTCATATTTACTCATAACATCGCATCTGACGAATGGATCGCCTGTATAACGTTCGGGACACGAGCACACAGGATTATGATTGACGACTACACATCTGGCTTGAATGCCGCATGTACCAGGGCAAGGATCTTTGCATTTCTGATTGATGCAAGCTTCGTTTGGCCGACAATCGGAGCTAAGAGTGCACTCTGGTCGGCAAAGGGGTGGTGATCCAAGGAATTCCGGCGCGCACGTGCACACGGCCTGTCCATTTAATTCGCGACATATGCTGTTTGGACCGCAGGGATTCGGACTGCACGGTCTTGTTACGGACGGAACTACGCGAGGAAAATATCATTAGCTCATTTGTTCGAGCACATACATAGATCGGATATTTTTTTTATTCTAAATATCATACCTTTCATTACATCGCAAGAAATAAACGCGTTTCCGGTGGTACCGGAGGGACAACTGCACATCGGCGTGTGATTTATCACATTGCATAAACTGTTTTGTCCACAAGTTCCTGGGCAGGGATCTACGCATTTATTTCGTATGCATGCCCTATCCGCGGAACAATCCGTACTGAATACACATTCAGGTCGACATCCAAGATATGGGTCGCCGAAATATTCAGGTAAACAAGTACAAATGCCGTTATTGCATCGAGCATTTGATCCACAGGGTGATCCACTGCATGGATCAGGTTTTTGTACTGGCATGTCATCTATGTCATAGCAATACATTATTAGTTTAAGTTATGTCGTAATAAATAAATAAAAAATTTTGTAATTAATTCAGGAGAGGTTTTGGCGTAACTTACTAATTGGCGTAGGTTGACAACTGATAAACGGATCGCCGGTATAACTGTCTATACATCTGCAGATTGGGATATGATTGTGAACGGTACAATCGGCATTCAGACCGCAAGAACCTGGACAGGGATCTTGGCATTTTTCGCGAATACAAGCCTGATTACTCGGACAGTCGGAAGAAATGATGCATTCAGGACGACAGTTTGGCGGTGCGCCAATATAATTAATCATGCAGGAACAAGATGGATAACCATTGACATTGCGACATTGCGAATTAGGTCCGCACGGAGAAGGTATACAAGGATCTGAAGGCGGACTTGGTAATGGAGAAGCTAAAATTTAAAGCAAAAAATTTCAAGGTAAAATTATTACATAATTTTTAAAGATAATATTTAAAGATAATATTTAATTATGCAAGTATTTTTTAATTGAAAAAATGTAATTAATATTTTCAAAATAATATTTCCATAAAAATATTATTTTGAAAATATTAATTACATTTTTTCACGGCCATTTCATATCAATCAAAACTTAAAAATAAAAAATAATATTTAATGCAAGGACAATTTTATCTATGACCTAGTATGATATTGATATTATTTTAAAATATGAAAACATTATAAAGTAATGAAAATTATAATGCGTATAAAAATTCGCTTACGTGGTACGAATGTGCAGCGCGTGAATGGATCACCGCTGAATCCGGATTTGCACATGCATATTGGACTATGATTCACAACTCTGCATGTTGTTCCCTGACCGCACGAGTTTGGACAAGGATCGATGCATTTATTATTTTCGCAAGCGCGATTCGTCGCGCATTCTGTGCTAACTGTGCATTCTGGCTTACAACCGGGCGGTGCACCGATATAATTTGAAAGGCAAGAGCAAACAGCTTGGCCATTACTTGATTTACATTGACTATATGGGCCACAAGGAGATTGTTGACAGGGATCAATGTTATCTGATAGAATCGCTGTAAGATAATCAGTATTAACTAATTGTCTTTAAGACACGATAGACGAATTTGTAATAATTTCTTACGGGTTTCGGGAATGAGATTGCAGTATATAAATGGATTTCCTGTAAATCGTTCAAAACAGGTACAAGTCGGTGAATGATTAATCACGTAACATTGTGCGTTCTGACCGCACGTTCCTGGACATGGATCTTTGCATTTTAGACCGATACACGCCTGATTAGACGGGCAATCGGAATTGAGTGTGCATTCAGGTCTGCATCCTTCATAGGGATTACCCACATAATCGGGTGAACATGAGCAAGAACCAGCATTTTGCAGAACTCTGCATATTGCATTCGCACCACACGGAGATGGTGTGCACGGTGTGGCTACGTTAGGCTGTATATCAACTAAAATATGCAAAAACAGAATAATGATTATAAATTTATCTGCAAGAAAACAGCCGATGAAAAATTATGATTTTCAATTTTTTAATAATTTAATGTTAGCAATTTCTTTTTTTTTCATTTTTTCAAAAAATGATTCCACGAATTAATGAGAAGAAAGACATTTGATTTTTTTTTAATATAGTCAGAAAAATTCATTAACGTCATAAGTCATTAATTCTCTTACATTGTTGGGGAGAGCACTGCGTGAATGGATCGCCAGTATAACCGGGTGTACAGGCGCACATCGGTGTGTGACTAACAACGTTACAAATGGCGTTGATTCCGCATGCATTGATGCATGGATCGCGACACTTTTGGTTGATACAGGCCATTTTATTCGAGCATTCGCTATTACTGATGCATTCATATCGACAGTTGGGTGGCGATCCGATAAATTCTTGTAAACACGAACAAGACGGTTGATTATTGATCACTTGACATTGCGCGTTTGGCCCACACGGTGATGGTTGACAGGGATTGAGCACGGGTAATGGTTCTTCAGCTTTAAAGATAGCGATTGATTAATTGATAAGGCACGGCCATTGAAATATATATTGATGTTCAAGGTGAACAAAATATAGATTGCGAGAAAAAAATAATATTCAAAGATATATCTTTGAAAGAATATTTCTTACGAGGTGGGAAACAATTAATAAACGGATCTCCGGTCATTCCAGGACGACAGGCACAAACGGGATTATGATTAATGACATTGCAAATTGTGTTGCGTCCGCAACTTCCGGGGCAAACGTCCCGACACTTTTGATTGATACACGCTTCGTTCTTCGGGCAATCTGAATTTATTACACATTCGGGCCGGCAAGTCGGAGGCGCTCCGACGAATCCGCTTATGCAACTGCATACGGCTTGCATGTTATTTTGTCTGCATTGACTGTTCGGACCGCATGGAGACGGATTACATGGATTACTAACGGAGGGTGCTACAATACGATCAGAAAAGATTTTAATTAGAGTAAAAATAATGGAGGATAAAAATTTAATGTATTAAAAATACGAATATTTTGATAAAAATTTGATAAAAAGTTTGATAAATATTTTCGTACATATTGCAATTGCTTTATATTATATATACGTAAAATTCTTTCAAAAAAATACCTGGAGCGGGAGAGCACAAAACAAAAGCATTTCCAATCATTCCTGCAAGACAAGTACACATGGGAATATGATTGTATACATTGCACATGGCGTTTTGGCCACAAACATTTGGACAAGGATCCACGCATTTGTTTCGCACGCATGCCTGCGTGTTCGGGCAATCGTTATTCAATACACATTGTGGGCGACAACCGCTATACGGGTCTCCAAAATATTCTGTTATGCAAGTGCAAATTCCTTCGTTGCACTGCGTATTAGATCCGCAAGGTGAAGGTCTGCATGGATCCGGCTTAGACAACTGAATAGGAACTACAATAATGTCACGTGAGAAAAGGATCAAATGTGTTATCATGTCTATATATAAAAAAATTAAAATTATATACTTGCAAATAGAGAATCTTACATGAATTTATAGAACACTGGACGAAAGGATCGCCGGTATAATCGGGTAAGCATGAACAAATCGGCACGTGGTCCAGGACGCTACATTCAGCCATTATGCCGCATAAACCTGGACAGGGATCCCTACATTTTTGTTGCATGCAAACCATATTAGCCGGACATTCCGCATTGATCGTGCATTCTGGTTTACAATTTGGAGGACTGCCTCTATACGTTGGCAAACAAGAACACGATGGCATCCCTCCTATATCGCGACATTCAGAAAATGCACCGCAAGGCGACGGTATGCATGGATCTCTCACAACGTCATTTACAATAGGCGGATTCACTGCAATTACGTTATTTAATAAATATATTATTTAATTAATTTTTAGACTTTTTGGAATAGTTTTAAAATTTAAAGTAATTGTGTATATTTTATTACATCTTTGATATCTCTAATTAATTTTTTTCAAATCTACAAATGCATGATATTTTTCAGTGATAAATCAAATTTCTGATAAAAAGAAATTACTTTTATCATATTAGAAATTTTATTTATCATTGACAAATATCATGCATTTGTAAAAATTTGAAAAAAATTAATAATTATACATAAATAATTTTCGCATAATATTTTCAAGATGAATATTCATATCAAGATTCGAGCATGATTATTTAGAAAAAATAAAATCGGATTATATTGATAAAAAAACAATATTAGATAAAAATTAAAATTCATACCAGGTGTTTGGAAGCAAACAGTAAATGGATCTCCGGTATAACCATTCTTGCAAGAGCAAATTGGATTATGTTTTATGACCCTACAATTTGAATTTTGACCGCAAGAATTAGGGCAGGGATCTTGGCATTTCTGATTCATGCAAGCAAGTACGAGCGAGCAATCCGAACTTGTCACGCATTCAGGACGACACGTGGGTGGACTACCGATGAAAATCGGAAGGCAAGAACAGACTGCTTGATTGTTATTAACACGACATTGGCTATTGGGCCCGCAAGGCGATGGATTGCAAACATCTCTCGGAGTATCAACTAAAATAATAAATAGATATATGTGTCTTCCAAAATTTTTGAATTGCATTAGAAAAAATTGTAAAGTAATATCCATTTGACGGAATCTAATTTTGTACATATATATCAAATACTTCAGTTTTAACGAATTAGATTTACTAAAATAAATAGTAATTAAATAATTATATCAACAAAAAAATATATTATATAAACTTTGCTATTCAAGCAATGTGTACGGAATGAAAAATTTTAACTGATATAAAATATAAAAGAATTAAAATAAATAAAATTTGTCAAAAATATTAATATTTATAAAAATATTCTTACCAATATCGCGAATTATATTGCAATATTGGAAGGGATTGCCACTATAACCAGCAATACATGTGCAAGAGGGCTGATGATTAATAACTTGACACTCGGCAAATTGTCCACAAACGCCAGGACATGGATCCTTGCATTTTGATTGTATGCAAGCAAGAGCGGATATGCAATCTGTATCAACAACGCATTCCGGTCGACATCCGTCGTAAGGATTGCCTACATAATCTGGTAAGCAAGAACAAGATCCAACACCATATTGTTCCTTACAAATGGCATTAAAGCCACAAGGTGATGGCTTACAAGGCGATAATGAAAAAGTTGTAGCTGAAAATTGTATAAAAATGTAAAGAAATATTTTGAGTAAAATCAATCTCTAATTTCGATCATTTTCGACAAAAATTAGAGAAAGTAAATTTACAATATATTTAAAAGCCTCAATACTCTGTTTTTTATTAATTAATTAAAAATCGAAAACTAATTGTTGAATTATCTATCTTTTGCTTGAATTTAAGTATTTTTATTTTTTAGTCATTTTTTATTTTCGGAAAGATTAGAATTTTAAAGTTGATGCTTACGTGGCTTTATTGTACACTGGGTAAATGGATCTCCGGTAAAGTCGCTAGGGCAAACACACATGGGTGTGTGACTCACCACACGACATTCAGCATTGGTTCCACATGAATTCTCGCAAGGATCTTTACATTTCTTATTTATACATGCCAAATGTGAGGGACATTCACTGTTGCTAATGCATTCTGGTTTACAATAAGGTGGTGAACCTAAGAATTCAGGTAGACACGAGCATATGGGAGTATCACCTGCCACACGACATTCGGCGTTCGCTCCACAAGGAGATGGCACACAAGGGTTTGTTTGTTGAACAGGTTCAGGTGCTAATAGAAAAAGGAGAATGGCTATCTTAAATTTGAAACTAAATAAACGACCTAATGAATGTTTCGATCAAAATGTACACGAGCAAAGATATTAGTAAGTATGAAAAAAAATTTTAAATAAAGGTATCCTTTTCAATCCCAATCTAATATTTAATAAAATCAATTTTGTTTTTAATCAACTTATTGCAGAAACGCATTGCGTTATAAAATTCAAAATATAAGTAAAATATTTTTTTTTAAATTTACATATACTATTTATTCGCATTGGAATTGTTAAGACAACAACAATTATATTTTCACTAGGATTTTGTGATTCCTTCAAGAAGTTTAGATTCTTACGTCGTGGAAAGCATCGAATAAATGGATCTCCAGTGAGTTCTCCACAACTACAGATAGGATTGTGGTTGATCACTTGACACGTAGCTTGGATTCCACATGCACCAAGGCAAGGATTTATGCACTTTTGATTACTGCAAGCTTCTGTCAGAAGACATTCGGAACTGACAGTGCATTCTGGTCTACATGCTGGCGGTACGCCAAGGAATCCGGCAACACACGAGCATACTGGTTGCCCGTTGTTTTCTCGGCAAATACTGTTGGGTCCGCAAGGCGAGGGTGAGCAAGGATTTCCCTTTGGAATATCTATATTCGACATGATGATAATTTTTTTCATTCAGCTTCCAAAGATGTCACGCAAGCAAAATACAATAATGATAATAATAGAATAGCAATGTGATTGGTAAATTGTAAGTAACGGAGATAGAAACATCTCTACTTTACTATAGTAATATTATCTAAAGGATTTTGAATATATCGATTATTAATCAATAATAAATGTTTTTGTGGGAATTTTAGAAATTCTAAATTGGTCGTTAATTGATTAATATTTATACCTGCGAGAGAACATTGAACAAAGGCATTGCCAGCCATTCCGGCTGGACAGGTGCACATAGGTACATGATTGTACACGGAGCATAATGCATTTTGACCACATGTATTCGGACAGGGATCCATGCATTTGTTGCGAATACATGCACGGTCGAGGGCGCAATCGGTGTTTGTGACACACTCGGGTCGACAACCTACATAAGGATCACCCTGGTATTCGGGCAAACACGTGCAAATGCCATTGTTGCATCGTGCATTTGGACCACAAGGATTCAAATCGCAAGGATCGATAATTACCGATGGTGCTATAAAAGGAAATAAAATTTGGAACTAAATAATGTATCGAAACGAAATCAGAGCGCGTTAATGTTTCTCCGTATAATTTCGGATATCATATTTATGTTTGAAATATCGACTTCATATAACGAAATAAAATGTCTAAAAAATTTTAAAAAGTGTTTCCGAATAATATATTATCATCCGATAAAATATTATCATTGTTAATATTCCAGTTTCAAATAATAATCGCAGAAAAGTTTTGTAATAAAAAAAACAGAAAATAAAAAACTAAATTAAACTTTCACATAATCTTTAACGTCCAAAGTTAAATTTATATATACGAGAGATTTTAAGAAATACGCGTTATAATTCGCGAGACTTTCCTTCAAGGCAATTCTTTCGTAATTATGAATATAAAAAGCTTCTTACTTGTAACTGGTCTGGGATAACAATTACTGAACGGATCACCAGTGTATCCTTCGGGACAAGTACAGACGGATACGTGATTATAGACTGTACATAAGGAAGTGATGCCGCAAGAGCCTAAGCAGGGATCCCTGCATTTCTCATTGTTGCAGGCGAGATTCATCGGGCATTCGGAATTCACACGACATTCGGGGCGACAGTTCGGTGGTGATCCCCTGTAGATCGGTAAACAGGAGCACGATGCTGTACCATCGATATTCCTGCATTCCGCGTACATACCGCATGGAGACGGCAAGCACGGATCTTTAGGGGCTACAGGAAAATCTAACGGTTCTGAAATTTAATAATAATAGCGGCGTAATAAACTATATGCCGTTTGTTTTTAAAAGATCTTAATCTCAGCGATGAATTAATTGCGTTCATAAAAAAATTATGATTATTAATGATAATTATATCGTGTAATATATTATTTTATATTACCCGAGTATATTGCATATGATAATATTGCAATAATTGATATGATATTATGATGATGTCAAATCAAGCTCAGAAAATAACGATCTTAGTCAATCAATTTTGAAATGAAGCCATGATTGAGTGAAAATTATGATTAATGATAATTATATCGTGTAATATATTATTTTATATTACCCGAGTATATTGCATATGATAATATTGCAATAATTGATATGATATTATGATGATGTCAAATCAAGCTCAGAAAATAACGATCTTAGTCAATCAATTTTGAAATGAAGCCATGATTGAGTTAAGTGTTGGTGAAAGATTAGGCATGACCATGGTTCATGGTATGAATGAGTGAAGCTGATGAAAGAAACAAAGTTCTTACGTGGGGTGGGGAAACAGCTTATAAAAGGATCCCCGGTATAACCGGGATTGCAGATGCAGATGGGACTATGATTGATCACTTTGCACTGGGTGCTTATTCCACATGGGTCCGGGCAGGGCGATGTACATTTCTGATTGACGCAAGCAAGATCCGAAGAGCATTGGCTGTTTACCACACATTCAGCACGACAGTTGGGGGGACTGCCGATAAAATTCAAGAGACAGGAACAAACGGCAAGGCCGTTTACATCTCGACACTTACTATTTGGTCCACAGGGAGATGGGCTGCACGGATTTGTTTCTGGCAAGACTGCATGGACAAAAGTGTACACACACAAATTATTTTCTGTATCATTATTTCTATATCATATTGTTTTAGATATCAATATTTCATTAATGTAAAATATGACTTTAAAATAATTATATTTAGAGATATTTTATTAATGTTCACTATAATGTTTAATATGAATCAGAAATTATGAATAGAAAAAAAAATTAATGCTCTTCAATAATTACACAAATTCTGATTTATATTAAAAACTATGATAAAAACATTATTATTTAAAATATCCCTAAATATAATAATTAATTAAATATATCTTTATCTCTCAATTATCTCTTAATTAAATACATCTTTATCTCTCAATATAGTAATAATAAATAATATTTAAAATTATTTCTTAATTTACATAAGAAATAATTATAGCAAAGCAATATAAATACAAATATAAAAAATTTCTTTTAATTAAAATTTGAAATTAATTTTAAACTATTTTAATATAATATTAAATTATGCATATTCTATGGCTATTATTTGGGACAAAACTTTCACAATAAAATATCTGATATATAGCTTACTGTCTTCAATTATTGGGGAGCAGTGCGTAAACGGATTGCCAGTATAGCCGGGGATGCAAGTACAGATTGGCAGGTGATTAACTGATTGGCATTGGGCATTTATTCCGCAAGTTCCTGGGCAAGGATCTCTGCATTTCAAACTTACACACGCCATTCTTGTCAGACAGTCAGAATTTTGTGTGCATTCGGGTCTGCATTCTTCATAGGGATCACCTAGATAATCTGGCAGACAGGTGCACGAGCCAACGCCGTTGTTTTCGCGACAGACGGCATTGAGACCGCAAGGAGAAGGCTCGCATGGTTTTCTAATATCTAGGGGCGTATCTGATAGAGAAAGAGAAGAAATTTCACTTAAACGTAAAAAAGACAGGTAAAGCATTATATTTCAAAGCTGGTGTTGAGGTAAAGGTTCCTTTGGCTTTCGTCTTTTCTCTCTCTTTGTCTCGCTTTCATTCTCACGTTTGATTAAGTCGAATTGTAATAAGCTTCGTATGATAGTGCGATGTAATATAGCTTTGTGTGGTTTTAATGAGTTATCATCGTCGATAAATATTTTATATCTATCGGTTTTAGTATGCAACGTATTTCATCAGCATCGTGTTCGATTTTTATCGCATCAATTAATCGAGTTAATTACAAGGTGCGGGACAAAATAGTTGTTTTATAAAACTACGTTAGAGTCTGTGGCAACTTATTGTATTATTTCCTCAGGGACGGGATCTTTGGGCTCTACATTATAATAGGCGGTGCTCTTTTCGAGTTTGTTAAATTATTTTTCTGTGTTCTCTATAACAGCGTTTTTTTTATTTTTTTCGAAAATGATATGTGCAGCATGATTCATGGGAGATTCACAGCATATGTCAAGGGTCAAAGTGCTCGTATATATGAGTGGGTTTTTAATTCGCTTTGGTACAGGCCAGTGTGAGTGCAGTAAATATTTCAATAATTACCGCAAGGATTATATGATATTCGCAGTTATATCAGTGCAGTCACGAGCCTATATGAATATACAGGCCCCGCCACCATTTTTCATAATTGTTTATCGTTATTATTGTCCTACATTAGGTTTTGGGTCAGTACGCTCAGGCATGGGGATGAGTGCGTGCCGCATTATTTTTTTTTATTAATCGCAGGGACTCGGGATACATGTATTCTATTATATGTTATTGACTTTTAATTAAGGATGAGTGCAATTAAGAGCCTAATGTCTATAGGCCCCACCACCTCACACATGACATAGTTTCATCTTCTTGTTAAGTAATCTCTTTAGGATTGTATTGCTACGCTATAGATCTTATACAATAAAATAATTGTACGCATAGATCTTATAAAATAATTCTAAGACACGTTTCGATCTAATGCGCTTCTAGAATTATGTAAATGTGTCTAATAATAATGGGACAGGACGGTGTAGTATTTATGTTAAAAATTTTTAGTTTTCTCTATTGTTCGTCAAATATTCTTCAAAATATTTTGAAAATCATATTTTCATAATATCGAAAAATCTCTGAATAATTTAACAAAATGCAACATCTTCAACTGTTGATAAAAAACATTGAGTAACTTGATTGACAGAAAATTCAGAATTACCGTCTTTTTATTACCATTAGTCACATTAGGACCAGAAGCACTTACCTGTTTCGCCCGCATGCAAACGGCGATCTTTGCAGGAAGGATTGTAAACAAGAATAAAAGATACAGCGACGCGTACTCACCCTCGGGTACTCGTTCGCATGAGCTGAATGGATTCCCGGTGTATCCGGCGATGCACGCACAAACCGCATGGTGATTCACAACCGAACACTGAGCGTTCAGACCGCACAGACTGACACACGGATCGCGACATTTTTGTTGCAAACACGCCAATTGCGGCGGACACTCGGGATTGATAGTGCACTCCGGTCTGCAATTCGGTGGCAAACCGACGTAATTTTCGACACAGGAGCACGCGGGACTCTCACCCCTCACTTGACACTCTGCATTTGGACCGCAGGGCGATGGTAGACATGGGTTCATCGATACAGGTGGTGTTTCTGCAAGCAAATAAATATTTAAATGAAAAACATTTTGCATTTAGTACGGTCAAAATTTTTATTAATATTTATTATATATTTATTTATTATATTAATATTGATTTGATCATTCAAAAGAATAATTATCTATATTGTTTATATTATATGTGTTAAAAAATCAAAACTGATTCTCACACAAACAATAAAAATATAGATTCTTTTCTAATATATTTTACATTGCTAACATTAATTAAAAATATAAAGTTTCTTAACAAAAAATAGTAATAATAATAATAAATTTATTAATTAGAATATATCAGCCGTTCTACATGTAAAATCTGTGTGCAGTATTTTTTACTCTTTTATTTTTCAATAAAAAGTAATTCTCAACAAGATATTAAATTTATTAAGTTTGTGAGAAAAAGAAATTTAAATTACTTACTCGGTTGCGGATAACATATGGTGAAAGGATCGCCTGTGTAAGATTCGGAGCAACTGCATATTGGATTATGATTAACCACTTGACAATTTGTATTCTGTCCGCATGTGCCTGGGCACGGATCTTGACATTTATTATTCAGACACGCCTGTGTCAATGAACAGTCACCGCTGACAATGCATTCTGGTTTGCAAGCGGGTGGACTACCAATTAAACCAGGTTGACAAGAACACACAGCATGATCATTTACAACTTTGCAGATGCTGTTTGGCCCACAAGGCGAAGGTGTGCAAGGCTGTTTTATGATATCTGTAAATATATATAACCAATGTTTATCACGAGCAACAATGATCGATTTGAAAGATGAAAAAATAGAATTTCATACGAATCTTATTTCCGCGTTTTAAATATAATTTGAAAAAATGAATAAACAAAGAATAAATAAAACATAAAAATATATATCTGTAAACTTACCATCCGGTATATGTGGCTGGCATAAACGGAATGGATCTCCAGTGTAACCAGGTGGACAACTGCACATTGGAACATGATTAACAACGTCGCAACGTGCGTCACGACCGCATGTGTTTGGACAAGGATCCACGCAGTTTTGATTGATGCATGTTTTGATGCGAGGACAATCAGAATTCATTGTGCATTCCGGTCGACAATAAGAATACGCATCTCCGAAATAATTGGGCAGACAGGTGCATACGCCTTCGTTGCACGCCGCATTAGGTCCACAAGGTGAAGGATTGCACAAATCTTGAGGAACTTTTGGTTGTTCTACAATAATTCTTTGTGTTTTATATCGATAAAGAAAAGTCATATAACATGTATGTATTTCTGTACAAGTTATTTATGTATAAGTAATTTATTTTATGAAAAAATTAATTATCTTTAATAAAACATATGGAATATTATTTTTAAAAATTCATATAATGTGAAAATACATACCTTTAATTACTGTACACAAAGTGAAGGGATCGCCAGAATAGCCAGGTTGACACAAGCAAACCGGTATATGATTCTGAACTCGACAATCTGCATTTTGACCGCAGGAGCCGACGCAAGGATCGCGACATTTTTTCGAGATACAAGCTTGATCTGACGGACAATCTGTATTAACTACGCATTCCGCGCGGCAGTTGGGTGGTATTCCTATATAATTTTCCAAGCAGGTGCACGCAGCTTGACCGTTGACAACTTTACATTCCGCATAAAGTCCGCATGGACTGGGGAAACAAGGATCCATCGGTGGTAGCGGCACAACTGTGTAAAAAACATTAAATAAATAATAAATTCTAAATGTATATAAAAATATGCGAAAACAATAATGATTATTACACGATTGTTAATTAGAATTATCGATAATTACCAGGTTCGGGGAAACATCTGGAGAAAGGATCGCCCGTCTTTCCCTGCGGACAGCTGCAGAGCGGGTTGTGATTAATGACACGACAGGTGGCCTCGATTCCACAAGTATTAGGACACGGATCTGTGCACTTATACTTGTAGCACGCTCTGTTCTGCGGACACTCAGAATTGACAACGCATTCCGGCTTGCAGTTCGGCGAAACACCTATGAAAGATTCTTGACACGTGCACACGGCTTGATTGTTTACAGCACGGCACAAGCTGTTTGGCCCGCAGGGTGTAGGTGAGCATGGATCCCTAACGGTTGGCTCCGTATCTACTTCTGGTTGAAGAGTGCAAATCGTAAACGGATCCCCCATATATCCAGGCTCGCAAGTACACGTAGGAATGTGATTGATGACCGAACACTGTGCCCGTACGCCGCACACGCCTGGGCAAGGATCCTTACATTTGTTGCGAATGCAAGCCTTGTTTGTGGGACAATCCGCGCTCAGGACACATTCTGGTTGACAGCCCTCGTAAGGATTTCCGTAATAATCATCGATGCATATGCAAGCGCCCGCGTTATCTCGTTGCTGACAGATCGCGTTGGCTCCACACGGCGAAGGCTCGCACGGATTCATCGTTTCCTCTAAGAAATGAGAAGATCGCCAAGCAATTAACTAACTAATAATGCAAGGATTCTAATGCATAAACAATGTTTTACGTTGATAACATGTTGCAAAATAAAATAACAATACGAGAATAATTTATGCGGGAAAAATATCTTAATTTATAAAGTATTGTTAAAAGATGAAAGAGTGCTCGCTTTTTTAATTGATATAAGAATCAGAGTAAACGTACCTTCTAGCACGCATTGCACGAACGGATTGCCTGTATATCCAATCTTACACGAACAGGTTACTGCATGATTTACTACTTTACACTCGGCGTTATCTCCGCAGGATCCTGGGCAGGGATCTTTACATTTCATATTTATACAAGACTTTTCCGGCGGGCAGTCAGGATTGATCACACACTCCGGCCGACATGATGGCGGAACGCCGATGTATGTAGGCAGACACGAACACGACGGTTGACCATTTGCATTCTGACAGATTGCGTTTGGTCCGCATGGTGAAGGAATACAAGGATCGCCCTGATCCTTAGGTTCCGGAGGAACTAAAATATTAATACAGTTTGTATCTATCCTTTTAATTTTCACTACATCAAAAATTATTATAAGCTCTTACATAATGATTGAAGAAATAAATTCTTGTCATTTTTGAAGATCATTAAAATTATATCTTATTATCTCGATATATTACAAAAATAAAATTTTATTGATACTACAAAATTATATTATATTAATATTATTTTTTTATATTAGCTTGTAGAAAATATTGATTCTTACTTGGAATGTCGTAACAACTCTTGAATGGATCTCCCGTCTGCGTAGGCAGACAGCTGCATATCGGCGAATGGTTGATCACTTCGCATCTTGCGTTCAAACCGCAGGAAGCCAGACACGGATCTGTGCATTTTTTATTTACGCAAGCTCGCGTTGGTGGACATTCAGAACTAACGACACATTCTGGTCTACAAGATGGCGGAGAGCCGAGGTAACCCCGGAGACAAGAGCACACAGCGTGATCTTCAATATTACGGCATTGACTGTTCGGTCCGCAAGGCGAAGGTGTGCAAGGATCTTTTCGAGATTCTGGTACTGCAACATCCGTAAGATAAAAATTAATTTCGCAAAGCGATTTTAATTTAAATGTCGATAGAGAAAATTGATACAATAAAATTAAAATAATAACAAGGCAAGAGAAAAGGAACAACTGTAAAATATTATTATATACCTGTAGGTTGAACACGACAATTGACGAATGGATCACCTACGTATCCAGATGGGCAGGAGCAAACAGGAATGTGATTCACGACGTCGCATCGCGCATTCTGACCGCATATTCCGGTACAAGGATCTTTGCATTTATTCTTCAGACAAGTTTTATCGCGAGGACATTCGGAATTGAGAATACATTCGGGACGACACGCTTCATAAGGATTACCGATGTATTCAGGCAAGCATTTACATTCACCGTTATCACATACAGCGTTTGAACCACATGGAAATAGAGCGCAAGGATCTGTCGGCGGTGGTTCTGTAACTATAAAGACATTTATTATTAAAGAAAAATTGCTCAATCGTGTATCTTGTAGTGCAAGATATACAATATTTTTATAGCACCACAATATATAGAGATTTATTTCGTTATTCTAACAATTATAAAATTTAAATTTTATCATTTATATATCACATAGTTGCAAAATGTACGGTGATGCTTTTTATAGACTCCTAACTTCTTTTTCTTCAGGAGTAATTTGTCTATCAGTTTTCACATTGTCTTATCAGTTTTTCATAAACTAAATATGTTTATATTCATTTAATATGATGCGTTATTTTACATTTTATTTATTACCTGGAGGAATAATACTGCATTGCGTAAATGGATCACCGGTGAAACCTTCCATGCATGTGCAAACTGGCAAGTGATTCAACACGTGACATTGAGCATTTATTCCGCACGAGCCTGGACATGGCTCCGTACACCTTTGATTAACGCACGCGAGATGACTTTTGCACTCGGAGCTCAAAATGCATTCTGGTCGACATTGTGGCGGTACGCCAATGTAATTAGGCAAGCAGGAGCACGCAGGATTGCCGGATATTATTTGGCATAAGGAATTGGGACCGCAAGGCGACGGGGTGCATGACGGTGGTCGTTCAGTTATCGGGAAATCGGTAGAAACTGAAAAACAATTATTATATATATTTACATTTAGAAAAAATGTATATGATTAATTTGCGCGCATGATTGATATGACATAAACATTTTTTGTAGAAGCAAATCTTATAGAAAATATTTCAATTAATATTAATGCATGAATATAATATATAATGCTTACCGTGTGGGGAGCACAAAGTGAAAGGATCTCCTGTGAAACCGGCAGGGCAAGTGCAAATCGGATTGTGATTTTTCGTAGTACATTGCGCTCTCAATCCACAGGAATTGGGGCAAGGATCCGCGCATTTCTTATTTACACATGCGAGATGTAGTGGACATTCAGCATTAACGATGCATTCTGGCCTGCACGATGGCGGAATGCCCCTATACTCTGGTAAACAACTGCATACGGCTTGACCATTAACGACTCGGCATTTACTGTTGGGTCCACAAGGCGATGGAGAACATGGTTCCAATGTTTCTAAAAAGAATAATATTGCATAGTAAATTTTTCATAAAATTTTTAATTATATTAATTATAAATTATTATTATTATTATTATTTGAAAATAATTAATTTATTGTAGTTTTTGACAGTTGCCGTTAATATGCTTTTTTGTTTACAATTAATAATAATTATTAATAAACTAAATAAAATAAATTAATTAAATAAATAAAAATTATTAAACTACTCATTAGTGTAATATTTAATTGTAATTATATAAATATAACATTTAAAACATACTTGTCATTTCCTCGATTTCGCAAGCAAAGTATGGATCTCCGGTATATCCTGGTGGGCACAAGCAGACAGGAACATGTGCTTGTACATTGCATATAGACAACGTTCCACACGTATTGGGACACGGATCCGTGCATTTAAAGCCAACACACGCCAATTGCGGTGCGCAGTCGTTGTTTGTTTCGCATTCTCTATGGCACCCTTTGACAATGTCGTAAGGATCACCGATCAGATCTGGTGGACATCCGCAAGCGCCCGCTCCGTTTCTCTCACGACATTGTGCATTAGGACCGCAAGGATTCGGCGAGCACGGATTCGACACAGGCCTGTCTGTCGCTAAAAATATGCACAAAAATATATGTATATAAACGAATCCCCTATCTAGCAATTTATTTTATCGGATATTCGAATTTCTACTCACCTGGCGGAAGCGCCAGAACGCAGCGCACGCTAGGCTCGCCTTCGTATCCTTCCGGACAGGTACAGATTGGAATGTGATTTTGCACTGTGCACCTAGCGAGCTCGCCGCAAGCACCGGGACAGGGATTCTTACATCTCTGATTGATGCATGCCGCGGTGTTGAAGCATTCCGAATTATCGGTGCACTCCGGTCTGCAGTTAGGAGGACGACCGATGTAGTTTTGCAAGCAGGAGCACGCCGGGTACAAGCCTACTACTTTGCACTGCGAGTTGGGACCGCATGGATTGGGTGAGCACGGATCTCCCTCTCCCTTTGGCAACGGCGATGTGGTGCTGATCTTGGCACAATGCACGAAGGGATCGCCAGAGTAGCCGCTGGCGCAGCTACAGATGGGATTATGGTTCACCGTGAGACAATTCGTGTTCTGTCCGCAGGAACCGGGACACGGATCCGCGCATTTGTTGTGGATGCACGCCTTATTCTGCGAACACTCGGAGCTAACGATGCATCCTGGTCGACAGGTCGGCGGGACGCCAGAGAATCCTGGCTGACATAGGCATACTGCATGTCCGTTTTGAACTCGGCAATTGCTGTTCGGTCCGCATGGTGACGGATCGCATGGATCGATCGGTGATGGTAACGGCGTCGCGATATTGACGATGGTGCAGCCGTTTACCGGGTCGCCAGTATAACCCGGTAGACAGGAGCACATCGGGGCGTGATTGATCACCCGACACGTGGCATCTTGACCGCAGGTATTGATACATGGATTGATGCACTTGTTATTCAGACAAGCTTTGCTGCGATCGCAGTCGGTATTGGTCACGCATTCGGGTCTGCAGGCAATATATGGATCGCCGAAATACTGCGGTAAACACGTGCAAGACCCGACGCCGTTCCGTTCGTTGCACACGGCGTTAGCGCCACATGGTGATGGATTACAGGGTGTACGTGGTTGTTCCGTTGTAATGGGTGCTGCGTGTAAATAATTAATTATGAATTGTATTAAAATAAATAGATAATTATTAGTAAGGATGGATTATATATCATGTATATTGCTGTGACATATAATATTTCACAAAGTGATCCAAGATATGTGTGTGCCAGAGAAACATACCTTCCACAATAGGTGTACATTCTGTGAATGGATTGCCAGTGTAACCATCGTTACAGATGCAGACGGGATTGTGTTTTACGACATTGCAATATGTGTTTACGCCGCATGAGCCTGGGCACAGATCCACGCATTGTTCGTTCTGGCACGCCAGGTTTCCGGGACACCCTTCATTTATGACACACTCGGGGCGACAATTTGGCGCCCGGCCCACATAATTCGGCAAACACGAGCATGCCGGGAAACCATCGATTACCCGACACTGCGAATTCGGTCCACACGGCGAGGGAACGCAAGGATTGCCGCTTGGTCTTGGTGCTGGCGTTACTTCCACTACAATCGCATATCGATGGATCAAAATGATTATGTAAAAATTATAAAAAAATACATAAAAGTTATATTCTTATTTTTTTCTAATTTATATCACTATTTCACAAAATAATATTTTATAACAGATTTAACATATAGTATAAAGCTTTTAGATACTCGGAATACATCGAAGATAAAATTTTTAAGACAAGATTAAAACGTTCGGGCTGCAATCTGATTCAGATAAACTTTACAACGAGACTTACCTTCTTTAACGCATCCGAAGAACGGATCTCCGCTATAACCGATTGTACAAATACAGACTGGATTATGATTGATCACTCGACAATCTGTATTTACGCCGCAAGTGCCTAGGCATGGATCCTTGCATCTCTGATTGATACATGCCGTGTTCGGGCTGCAATCTGTGCTAACTACGCATTCTGGTCGACAGGATGGTGGACTACCGATGTAATTAGGTTGGCAGGAGCACACTGCGTGATTATCGATAACACGGCAATTGCTATATGGTCCGCAGGGAGATGGTTGACACATATCACCTGATACTGGAGGCTCTATAAGAAATGAACCACATTAATAAGATAATTAAATATGTCATTCGAGTTAGAGTTTCTCATAAATCTATAAAGATTAAGAATTAAGGTACCGAGTAATGACTTTTTATTAGCATTTCATTAGATATTATAGATAATAATGCAATAAATTAGATGCTAATATGTATATATACTTATAGATGCATATGTCTAATGTTTTCACTCTTTTTTGAGAAACTCTAGCTCGAGCACTTGTTCATTACAATAGAAATGTCAAAAAAAGTAAATATACTTATTGGTACGTGGCAAGACGTAAGCGGGTCTCCGGTGTAACCGTAGAGGCAGCTACAGGATGGCTGATGATTATAAACTTGACATTGCGCGTTGATTCCACACGCTCCAATACAGGGATCCTTGCACTTGTTATTAATGCAAGCCTTCGTGTGAGCGCAATCCGAGTTCTGCACGCATTCTGGTCTACAGCCCTCATATGGATCACCGGTATAATCGGGCAAACAGGTACAAGAGCCCACGCCATTACGCTCTTTACACACGGCGTTTGCACCGCACGGCGAAGGATCGCACGGCAATTGCGCTGGGAAAACGGCTATAAAGCGAAAAGATATTCAAAGTATGCAGATTACAATAAATAAATCGAGCATCAAACTTTAAAAATGGCTAAAATCTCTTACCTTTGGCACAGCCTGAGAAAGGATCACCTTCGTAGCCTTCGTAACATTGACATATAGGTCGATGATTCTGCACCGTACAATTCGTGTTGAAACCGCATGATCCACCGCACGGATCCAGACATTTCTTCTGAATACAAGCCAAAGAACTAATGCAATCTTGGTCGATCACACACTCCGGTCTGCAATTCGGTGGTGCTCCGAACATACCGCTGATGCACGTGCATATAGGATGATCCTCTTGAACTCGACAATCAGCGTTGGGTCCGCAAGGTGATGGCAAACAAGGATTAACAGTCGTCGGCGGTAATGGTTCTGAAAAAAATACGCTATGTTAAATATGTTTCGAAAATCTTTTTCACATATTTAATATAATTTGATATAATAAGATTACTCATTTAATTCATAACAAAATTTGTAATAAAAATTAAATCTTATATAAAAATTTTATATAAATATAATTTTATATAATTTTATATAAATATAATTTTACATAATTTTTTATGAATATAATATATATAATTATAATATGAGATCTTCTCATGCCATATATTTGAAAAGCGAAAAAAATCAACATGTTTTAGTTATTAATTGAATATTATTTGCTTTTTTGTCGCTATTAATTAACAACATATGAACAATCTGTATTTATTTTTTATTCAATAGATTAATTACTAAAATTTGCTAACGTAATGTATTACCTTCTTTAGCGCAATGCGTGAATGGATCGCCAATATACTGACGAGGACAACTACAGATAGGATTGTGATTGATGACTTGGCAATCGGCATTCAAGCCGCACAATCCCGGGCATGGATCATTACACTTTTGATTAATACAAGCCAGATGAGCCGGACATTCAGTGCTGACGAGACACTCTGGACGACAATGCGGCGGGGTACCCTGATAACCCGGACTACAGGAGCAAACTGCACGATCGTTCATCACACGACAAATACTATGCGGACCACATGGCGATGGCATACACGGATTCTGATCTGGTACCACTGTAAAAATTACAGCCAGGTCAGATCAATACATACTTCTTCCTACATTATTTTATTATTTTATTTTATTCTTACGGTTAATATAAATTTATCATACAATTTTGATCGTATATGCACTTTAAAGTAAAATATTTGGTAACATAGAGATGTAAAAAAAATTTTAAATATCATAACTAATTAAATAAATATTAATTTGATACTTTTTTTGACATATAAATTAACATAGTATATTTATATATATTAAATAAAAAACAAAGCGAATATACAAAGTATATTGAGAATGCATAAATAAACTGAAAAATGTCTACATACAAGGTTTCTCCACTTTGCAGGCTCTGAATGGATCACCGGTGTATCCCGGCAAGCAAGAACACATTGGAAGGTGATTGACAACTTCGCAGTGCGCATTCGCACCGCACACGCCTGGACATGGATCTCTGCAATGTTGATTGAAGCAAGCCAGATGACTCTCGCAATCTTGATTAATAATACACTCGGCTTCGCAACCGTCCATATAAGGATTGCCAACAAATGGCGGTATGCATGTGCATTTAGCTATACCGTCAACCGCCGTGCAAATGGCGTTTTTGCCGCAAGGTGAGAGCAAACAAGGATCATATGGTTCTGCCGGTCGAGCTACATATAACAATTAATTCGATTATTACAATCGATTATATTAAGGTAAATATAGAAGATTATAAAATATTTTTGCTATAAATGGATACGATATTACTATAAAATTGAAAAATTTAAAAGGAAGATATATATTTAAGAAAGATTTAAAATATACACAGCTTAAAAAAATAAAATGAAACTTGTCAAGAATTTATATTCTATAAAGATAAAATTTGTTTATGAAAATTTAAAAGAATGCATTGAATATACAAAATTACAATTTTCAATTTTTTATATTTGCTAAAGCCTCTTTCTGATCGATATTATTAAATCGCTCGAGATTTATTTCTATATTATTATTATTATCTATATGGTATATAAATTTATGATATAATTTTAATTGTATATAACATCATAAAATAGATTTGACAGTATAGAGATGTAGAAAAATTATTAAATATCATGTAATTAATTGTAAATATATATCTGACTTTTTTATGTCATATAAATTGACGTGATATTACATATAAAAAATAAGAAACAAAGCGAATATGAATGAAACGGTAATGATTACCTCCGCAACTCTTGTATGGATTTCCAATCATGAGATCCGGACAGTAACAAGGTGGTACTCTTGTGCTATTGCATCTCGCTCCAAAACCGCACGGATTAAATTCGCATTGATCGGCTTTCGGCACGCATCCTCGAATAGTGTTCGGGCTTTCGATATATCCAGGTAGACAGGTACACTTCGCGAAGCCATTCTCCAATACAGAACAGCGAGTATTGGGGCCACATGGAGAAGGATCGCAGGAAGTGCTAGGAAGTGTGCATGGAGAATGCGGCGGATTTCCTTCGTATCCTGGTAGGCAGAAGCATTTCACTTGTCCGTTAACCACTCGGCAGCCCGAGTTAGCACCGCAAGGATCGCCATCGCATTGATCGCCTTCAGGAACTAGATACATCACATAATCGATTTGTTAGAGAAATATTTCATAATTCATTGTATTAAAGAAATATTTATTTTTACATTTCGCAATAATATTTCTTGGCATGATAAATTATTTATACATTTATAAACTGGAGTATACATAAATAAAATTGTTATAATATTCTGTAAAATTTTATACATACTGCATTGCTCGAAGGGGCTTCCTGTTAGACCTTTTGGACAGAAACAGACGGGGTTTCCATTATCATTCTCGCACAACGCATTCAAACCGCAAGGATTTGGAACGCAAGGATCGGAAATCGGTATCTCCTGACAACCAATATGAGGGTTTCCTTGATATCCTGGAAGACACGTGCACTGCGCCTCATGGTTATTAGAGATGCACTTTGTGTTTTCTCCGCAGTCAAACTCGACGCAAGGATTGATACACTGTCTATTGAGCCGATCGCAATATTTATTCGGAGGACAGTCTTCATTATATTGGCAAATATTTTTGGCTTCTTCTACTAAAATGATAAAATACATAATTTTAATATCAATTTATTATTATATTATTTATTTATTTTCTATATCTTCAAAACTTACGCAAGTCGCAATAGGAGAATCCATTTCCGTGATAGCCTTCTTCACAACTGCAGTCTGCTCCATGATTCGTGTTAATACAAACAGCATGTTCCGCGCAAGGATTTCGAACTAGACACGGCTCCTGACAAGTATGTCCGATGCACGCCTCTGTCAGCGGACAATCCCTGTTGCTAGTGCAACCCGCTAGAGAAAGAGTGAGAAAGCCCATGTAGCCCCAGAAAGTGTAGTGCACGCGAATTGTAGAAATGGAAAAAGTTTTCTTTGCGCAGCTTGTGTGTGACTTTTTCTTTTTTTTTATTGCATTAACTTTTCTGGTACATGTGCAAAAGTATGCGTATTAGGAGAAGAATATTCTCCTAAATAAAAGAAAGACATGAATATCTCGAAGAGATCGCATTCGTCGCGATTATGCACGACATTTAATAGTAATAGTATTATTAAAAAAATATTCTGTGCTTTTTTAAAAGAAAGAAGAATCTTATGTATATAATTTGCAAAATATATACGTGAAATATGCATATGTACAGTACATACATATTTACAAATCTTTCGATAGCTATAAATGGAAAGAAAATTAGATGCATCCAAACAGAATGTTGATGCTCGTACAAACCTTTGACACATGTGTTTGTTGACAGATCGCACTGCATACCGGGTGGACAGTAAGGACACTCCGCTTCATTGCTGACTTCTAAAATAATTAAACAATATAAAATAAATATAAAGTAAATATTAAGTAAATATTAAGTAATATAAAATATAAAATGATGATTTCTTTCACAAATAAATACATGTAAAATTATTTGACTTAATCATGAATTTTACCTTTGACACAGACCGGCCTATGGTATTGGACATGACAAGCTTCGACGAAGTCGCATGGATTGCCCAAGTTGCAAGGATTCACGCATTGTTGATTCACGCAAGCCAATTGGACGGGACAGTCGTTATGTGTCGTGCATTTCACATCTAACGGAACAAATGTACATTAAATGCAGAAATTAGTGTCATGAGCGAGACGAGAGCATCGTCCCATTAATACGTCCCAAATCTATTTGACCTAATCTTTAACCACTATGTCTTGGTACATTCTATCAAAAAAAAAAAAAAAAAAAACGGTAGCTATAACATTTTACGTAGGTCTATCACATAGGCATTGCGCCAGTGCAATACATAAACATGAACAAGAACAATGTACTTTTTTTATGAGATATATATATATAATGATATTTGCGTTATGTGTCAAATATAAGAGCGCAACTAAGAGAGACATTGATGCGTCTATCTTCAAGTAAAATTTTCTTTCGTGATTACATTCTATATTATTTACAATAACATTGATCTTGTGATAAGAATTTCTTTATATGCAAGTGGATAATGTGCATAAAAGACGATTTGCCCAGAGCATAGATGAAAGATGCAATTTATTACATGTTAAATAGCGCTGTAAAACACAGGAATTCGTGCAAAAGCGTGTTAACATACATAATCATGCAAAGAGCGCTAATGCAGCAGTCCTCGTCTGCATTTGGAAAGACAGTGTTTGACTGTCTGTTGACAATTTTCGGCACGGCCGAAATCATATGGGATATAGGTGTTCGATTTACGCGTCGCCCTTATGATATATCGATGGTATTGCCTCATTCATTACACAAATGAGCCATTTCATGAAACCGACCGATCATTCGGCAAGCAATGTTTATATTCTCCAGAATTGGTTGCTTCCAATTTTTATCTGGATACAATAATAATGGGCTCACATTGGAGGAAGCTTGTAGAGAAGATCGGTGTGACAAATACACATAAAATAATACCACAATTACAAAACTCCCAACGAGAAAAATCTTTACCTGGGAGTATGCTACAATTAGACGTACTCTGCTCTGATTCTAAGCACACAGGTCGATGATTCAGAACGTCGCATAAGACGTTCTCTGGGCATGGATTACTGGCCTTACACGGATTCTGGCATAGACGATCTACGCAAATCTCGCATTCTGTACAATCCGTATCCAAGTTGCACGTCATCTCTGTTTTATTCCAAGCAATTTCAGGCGTGGTGGATTGTTCTGTAGAATATTGCATTGTCGCATATTGTTCTATTGTAGAATATTCCGTTGGTATGTGCTTCTCAGACGTATATTGTTCCGTCGAATATTGTTCTGTAGATGTTTCAAATGTAGTAAGATTCTCTACAGTGGAATATTCTTCTGTAGAATATTCAGTTGTACTTTGTGGTACTGTAGTAAAAGATTGCGTAGATGGGATGGGCTGTTCTTTTGTAGTAAAATGTTCTTCTGTAGGATATTCAAGAGTACTGTATCCAGTAGTAGAAATCTGTTCTGTAGATTGTTCAGTAGGTTGTTCTGTGGGCTGCTTTGATGTTTCAAACTGTTCTGTAATAAAATGTTCTTCTGTGCTATAACGTTCCGTAATGGAAGTCGGTTCTGTTGACTTTTCAATCATAGTATACTGCTTCAAAGTAGTAGTTTCTTCCGTAGGTTGCTGTGATGTTTTAAGCTGTTCCGTAGTAGAATATTCTTCCATAAAATATTCAGAAGTATATTGTTCCGTAGTTGAAACCTGTTCTGTAGGTTGTGCAAATGTAGTGTGTTCTGTAATCTGTTCTGATGTTGTAATCTGTTCTGTAGTGGAATGTTCTCTTGTGCTGTGTTCCGATGTATCGTAACGTTCTGTAGTGGAAATATATTCTGTGAATCCTTCGTTGTATTGTTTCGAAGTAGTGTATTGTTCCGTAGGTTGCTGCGATGTTGTAAATTCTATTGTAGAATATCGCTCTGTATCGTATTCCGGAGTGCTATATTGCTCTGTAGTCGAGATCTGCTCAGTAGGTTGTGCAAATGTAGTGTACTGTTTCGTAATCTGTTCTGATGTCGTAAAATGTTCTGTAAAACGTTCTTCGGTGGTATGTTCCGACGTGCCATGTTCGGTAGTAGAAATATATTTTGTAGATTCCTCGGCATATTGTGTCGTAGTAGAATATTGTTCTGTAGATTGTTGCGATGTCTCGAGTAATTTTATCGTGGAATATTTGTCTGTAGAAAATTCAGTGGTATATTTTTCAGTAGTAAAAAACGTAGGCTGTTCAGACGTCGTGTATTGTTTCAAAGTGGTGTATTGTTCTGTAGGTTGTTGTGATGTTTCAAACTGTCTTGTAGAGTATCCTTCTGTAAATTGAGATGTAGTGTATTGTTCAGTGATAGATTGATTTATTGTAGAAATATCAGTGCTTTTCTGAATATTATCAGTAGTTGACTCGCTTGTCGTAGATATAGGAGACTCAGATGTAATTATTGATAATGGAGTGGTATCTTTTACATAAGACTCAGTCGTATGTAGTGATTCAGTTTCAGTGCTCAATTCTTGTGTAGCTTCATTGGCAGGTTCAATATTTATTGTAGATGTTTCAGGGTATTCTAGGAGATTCGGAGAGGATACCGTATGATCTGTTTCCATAGAAAGCATCGTAGTACTCATCATGCTAGTTGTATTTTCCATATATGGCTCAGTAATTTTTTCTAATGGTTTTACTGTTAATTCTTTAGATTCTATAGTGGTAAGATATGGTATCGTAGCTATTGAAGTTTTTTCAACATCTACATTAGGAACTTCTGTAGTAGGAACCATAGTTACATTTTCAGGAACTTCTGTAAGGCTGCTTACTTCCATCGATTTAGAAATTGTTGTTGTTTCAATATCCTGATCAGAAATCGTGGTATTAATAGTATCGGTACGATTAAATGCAAATGGAAAAGTTACAGTCGGAATAGTAGTTGTTTCTAATGTTTCGGTTGTTGTAAAATTTTTCTCATAATCAGATTCAAATTCACTTATTGTTGCTGCAGTTATGGTAGACAAAGATACATTTTCTGTAATAATTTCTTCTGTAGGTGGAATAAGAGAAGTTGTTGTCGATTCAATTCCAGAAGTCATCGTACCTGCTCTGGTATATTCTGTAGTAGTTTCAATAAAATCAGTACTTTCGAATATTGAAGTGGTAAAACGACTAGATGTAACGTTCTCTAAAATATCAACGTTTGTTGTTGCAGTTAAAGTATCGTTTAAAATATTAACTTCGGTTGCGTTCAATGTTGAAGATACACTTGTCGTATATTCCGAAAACTCGGTAACGATTTCTGTCGATGCAACTGTTGTATCTGATACACTTATCATTTCGGTGGTAACATTTTCTAACAAATTTTCAGTAATTTCAGTTAAAGGAACTGTATTTTCTTCCGTTTGTGCAACGATTGTATCTGTGGTGGAAATAGGAGGTGTTGTCGACGGAATATTAATACTTGTTGTTGTTTGTAATGTGGTACGAATGGTTTCGGAAGATGTGTAATCTGAATCTATAGAACGTAATGTTGTTATGCCACTATATAAACAATGTTTGTCGTTAGGATCGCAACTGCAAATAGGCCTGTGCGCTTCAACCCGACATTGAACTGCCAATTGACATTCGTTGATACAGGGATCAACGCAGGAACTTTCGACGCAGGCTTCTACGTCACTGCAGTCATCATCAGACTCGCAAACTGGCTTAGGCATGGGGTGAAGAACTGCTGCGGATATAATATAACGTAAACATAATAACTGATAAAGTGGTAAAAAATTGAAATCGAGAAGCGACTTTAATTAGGCTACGCTACAGATCAGTTTATTTCAATTACTACAAATTAAGAGTTAGCATGCTCGCATCGTAATAAGTAAGCTGATTATAAGAAACATTATATTTTAGGTCTTTACAGAGACAGATGTAACGGAAAAATCCTTCAGAGTAAATCGGCAGAGGAAATCGGCAGAGTAGAGCGGGAGTTTAAGGTATGGGAAAGAGATACTTGTATCTGTAACTCGGAACCTGAAATATGCGTCCAGACAACAAAAATATATCCATTTAAAATGCATAAAGACAATTTCTCAGTTAAAAGCAATTCCGCGAATATATTAAAATAGCCACAAACAATTGTAGAAGAAGAGAATGATAAAAAATTTTAAGCATATTTTGTTGTCTGAACGATGGAAAGACTGAAAAGTAGCAATTGTATGTCTCGTGTAAGGCCAGGCAATGTAAAGACGTGATAAAACGGCTAATGACAAGACTCAGACTAGTTTCTGAGAAATGGTGTTTACCTTTCATGCATCCGTATTTAGTATCTGGCACAAAGCCGGGGGGACAGAACTTGCAGATAGGCTTGTGCTCCTCCACGTAACAGGGGGCATCAGCCGGACAGGTGGAGTTTCTGCATGGGTCCACGCAGCGATAGTTGCGGCACGCCAAGTCTGGAGAGCAGCCACTGTCTCGCAGGCAAATGGAGAGGGAGGGATTGCAGTTTTTGGTGCAAATGCACACGGGACGGTGGTCCAGGACATCGCAGGTTTTATCGGCCGGACACGGTCTTTTGTTTCGCACGTTACAGGGATTCTGACATTTCCCGTTGACGCACGCGGCGTTCGACGGGCAATCGAAGTCCCTCGAGCAGGTGAGCGTGTCAGGGGCACAGGTCAATTCCCCGATTTCGTTGACCACGAAGCCGTATTTGCAAACGCACGTAGGTTTACGATTCCGCACCTGACACCTCTTGTTGACCTCGCAGGTATACCGATAACTCAAACATGGATCGCGACACTCGCCTGTCTGGGAGTGGCAGGAGAGACTCTCCGGACAGTCGTGATCGGAGGAACAACCGATGCTCGGCGTAGGTTTAGGATTGAGCGTATCGCATTTAGAATCTGGATGGCAGGCCGTATGGGGCATGCCGATATAGCACTGCGGGCACGAGCAACGCGGCTTGTGCAGAACCACTCGACACAGAGCATTGATCCCACAGGCACCGCGTAGCGCGCACGGGTCCAGACATTGTAGATTTATGCAGGCTTTTTCATTGGGGCACTCTAAGTCGCTGGTGCATTCGCGCTCTATTGTCACACAATAGTGGTGTAGTTGAACGGTGTAGAGTCAGTCGTGGTGGGTCGTGGGTGGGACAGGAAAAAAAAAGAAAAAAGCATTTATAAGAACTGTGAAAAGAAACTTTCTCACAAATAACATAAACCACATGCTTTGTATTTATATATGATGAAAGTAGGGTAGCTCTGTGAAGAAGTATAGAGTAAATAACAACGACTTTACACTTTATCAAAATATATCTTCTCGAAGAAATTACAACGGCAAGCAGCGATATTTACAACACAAGCCCCCACAGATTTCAGAATAGGAGGAAATAATAAAACCCGTGAATATCAGCAAATATCAAGCATGGGTATATGAGAATGTCCCTTTCGCAGTTCCCAATCTGTACTAATCCTAAAATATAGATATATATGTATACATATATATATAAATGGTGTCGATTGTAAATGTGTACCTCCTTGTATTCAAGTGGCACTATAAACGAGTACATCCTCAAGACAGATTGGATACTGAAATAAACATTCTACATATAAAGTTATGTGTGAGATATGTGTAAGGTATGTGTTTTCTTTCAATCAAAAATTATGTACAGTATGCCTTATATTGTATGTATGTATATATATATATATATATATATATATATATATGTATTTATGTATATATGTATATATGTCTTATATTGTATATATATTTATATATGTACATTTATAATGTTGTACTCTCTTTGCTGTGGATAAATATATGTAAATATCCAGTATAGCATGGCGATTGCATACTGGTCCAATCACATCTGTCTCTCAATGTTAACAATTTCACTCGATTAATACATCTATGTTTTACTAAAAAAAAATCCTACTAGACGATACATGGTTATGCTACGGACCATGTTCCTGTGATTGTCAGTATTGCTCGCTAGTCACAAATGCTGTACATAAAATTAATCAATCTGCTCGGTTAAAAAGTTAGTAATAGGCTGCATTTTCCTACCTGTTGTGCACTCGATATCGGGCGATCCGCTAGTACCTGGTGGACATCGGCAGACGAATATAGCACCGTCTCGAATGCATTCGGCATTCTTTCCGCATCCATTCGTTCGACAGTCTCCTAAATCTCTATCCGAGCTACCTGTATCAGCAAATTATTAATGACGCTGATGATCGCAGAGATAAATAATTAAATAAATATTAACTGCTGTAATATTGAAACGTATTTCTGAGATTTTGTATTATTATATTTTTCCCATTTCATATATTTAAAAAAAAATTATAAAAAGATGTAAGAGTTCCTTTATGTTTCCTCTTTCAGAGGCATCGTTACAGTTTTATTTCTTTGATTAATATATATCTTATTAAATTCTTTATCAAAATAAAAAAAATATAATACATACATGCGTGCATCGGGTCGCCTGATGGATAATTCGATGGGCAATAACACTGCGGTTGATTCTTATAAATTCGACAGGCCGCATTGACACCGCAACGAGTGTCTTTGCAAAGATCGCCATCGCAGAGGCACACCTGATGTGGATCACCCTGGCATCCCGGATCACACGTGCATTCGAAACCATTTACAGTCTCTCGGCATTTGGCATTAATACCGCAAGGTCTTCGTAAACATTCATCTCCGCCTGAAAATAATCAATATTCGTGTGTGTATATAATTATTTCACTCATGAATATAATTTTTACGCATAATAGATTTACCTTTCTTGCAATTGATCTTTGGATTGCCAAAATGTCCTGGCGGGCAGGAACACTGCGCCTTTTTGTTGATCACTCGACATTGCGCATTAAAGCCACAAACGCCATGTTGTAAGCATGGATTTGTACAGACTCCGTATTCGCTGCAATGCTTGTTCGGCTCACAATCGTTGTCGTGATGGCACTCCAGTTGATAGCACTCCTGGCTCGGCTCACCTTGGTAGCCTTCTGGGCATAAGCAGACCGCGCGATGATTCGAGACGCGGCAGAGTGCGTTTATTCCGCAGGGTGATCCATGAGCGGAACATGGATTTTCACATTGACCATTCGTGCATGATAACGACGACGGGCAGTCGGAATGAGTGCGACATCCGATCAGACACAAGCCTCCATCGCATACGTAACCCTGTATTTAATAAAAAAAAGTGTATTAATAAAAATAATTTTTTAAATGATATATATTTAATATTTTTACGATATATTTTTATCATATATTAATATAATATATAATTTTAAAAAAATGGACTTTAAAATTCTCAGAACTCACTTTTGGACAGGCGTTGTTGATGTCGCACTTGATGCGACATTTTCCACTATGACAAATCTCTCCGCAGGAACAGTCGTTCTGATTATGGCAACTGGTAGTGCAAAAACCGATCTCGTCGCACTCACACAAACCGTCGCAAGGAATCATGGTCTTGGCGCAATTGATCAATGCATTGCCGTAATAATTTGCGGGACAGTTACATTGAGCTACGTGATTTACAACGCGACAGCCGGCACACTCTCCGCACGCCTTGCCACCCTCGCATGGATCTGAATAAGAATGCAATCGATTACATCACTCGGTAATTGAGAAGTCTGATATTTTCACAATAGGCAATTTATACAAGTGCAACCATACACTTACTTCTGCATTGATTGTTGATACAAGATTCATCACTTGGACACGTATTATCGCTGCGACATCCAATGTCGCACATGCGATTGTGACATATTTGATTTGCAATGCAGTGATCATCGCTGTTACATATAGCTTTACAAATACCGCCGTCGCATCGTTCATCGCTCAAGCAATTTGCATCACTGAGAAAAATACAATTATTTAGCATCGAAACATTGCTGAAAATTTGCTCACATATTCATATGTTTCTTAGATTTCTTACCTTCTGCATGTGGAATAACAAGATCTGCCATAGCACGTTTGTCCTGGTAAACATTCGAGTTCAGACGAGCAAGAATGGAAAGCCTGCTTGCATCCGATACGAGCGTCTCCTATTAAAGGCGACGAGCACGTGCATATCTTTTCGTGGTTGACAGTAGTGCACTTGGCATTTACACCGCAAGCACCAGGCAATGAACATGGATCTGTAAAAGTAAAGAAAATAACATATACTTGTATGCCTTCTGATTATATAAAAAACATAATTTACAAAAGAGCAAAATTATAAATTCAACTAATAGCTTCTCGTTACGCAAAAGAAACTTTTTAAAAAGAATATTAATAGAGAATTCTCACCTATACATTGATTGTTTAGACACGCATAATTGTCCTGGCACTCGATGTCCGCTCGACAACCGGAAACGCATACTAGTCCTTCGCAAATCTCGCCACTCCTGCAGTCTTCGTCCCGTCTACAGAGTGATTTACAGAAACCGGAGCTGTCGCATCTCTCGTTGCTCAAGCAGTTCGCGTCGGTCGAGCACACAGATGTACACGTACCGGCTACGCAAGCCATACCCACGGCACACTCTCGATTATTCGCACAAGTTGGACCGGGTGACCTCAAGCATGCGACCTTGGCCGTCGGATTTGGTATGAAGCCTGAGGGACAGGAGCACGTGGCGCGTTGGTTGAAGACGGTGCACTTGGCGTTTGGTCCGCACGGCGTGGCTTCGCATGGATTTACGCACTTGTTGCCTGAACATGCCTCGTTCGCGTTGCAATCCTCGTCAGCGCGACAGCCGAAAGTGCACATATTATTCAGGCAAATGTGGCCCAGGAAACAATCGTTGTCCAGTCGGCAGGTTAGCAAGCAATTGCCACGAATGCATTTTTCGTTCAACGCACATTCGTCGTCGATGGTGCAAATAGGCAAACAAACGTTCTCGCGACAGGTGTTGCCTTGATTGCAGTCCCTGCTTCCTAGACAGGACACTGGCACTGCGAGCAACAATGAATAATCGTAATTTTGTAAGCAAAGTGACAAAAGATTGTTATAATGATAAATATTGAGAAATTGCATTTTATACACTTACATCTTACGCATTCCACTTCGGAATTACCGGTGAAGCCTGGTGGACAACTACATTGTTTAATGTGACTTTTCACTTTGCATTCGGCGTTTATGCCGCAGGATCCTCTCACATCGCACGGATCCAAGCATTGTCCGTTCAAGCAAACGTCAGACAAGTTGCATTCCTCGTGCGATTGGCAAGATGCTAAAATAATATTATTTTATAAATGCGGCAGAGTATCTCTTCTATTGAAGTTTGATATAAAGATTACTTTTACTCACGTCGACAAATGCCCTCGTAACAATAGGTATTGATCGAACAATCGACGTGCGACGAACAGACAACCGGTTTTGGACGGCATCCTACGCTCAGATTATTCGGATCACCTTCGTAATCGGGTCGACACTCACAACTTGCAGCATGATTACCTGCGATACAATCTGCATTTGGACCACACCGGGTACGTGAGCAAGTATCTAGAATAAGAAAGTTACATAAGACATATATATCTTTTAAATATTACATAAATATTAAGTATATTATATTTAATTATATAAAATAATATAAATTATATAAATTATATAAAATAATATAAATTATATAAATTAATTATAATAAAAAATAAGATACAATAATAACAAATAAATTGACAAACTCGATATGCATACCGGTACATTTCGGTTCGTTATTAATATTAACGCATTTGGCAGTTGGCGGACAGTCTGTGTCTTGGAGACATTCTACCGGCGGTTGACAGCCACTGTTATAAGGATCCCCGACAGTACCAGGCTGACAGTGACATTTAAAGTGTCCTCGTGAGTTTTCGCACAATGCACCTGGTGCACAAGGCGCGTTTGCACAGTAATCTATCAGTTCGCAACCATGCGTGGGTTCTCCCGTATATCCGGGTTGACATGTACAAAACTAGTGAAGAGATAAAAAAAATCGCATGTTACTACAGAGATCACAACTTTATCTCTCAAAAAAATCTAATCTCAAATATTCTCGAATATTTGAGATTAGATTTCTTTGAGAGATCTCAAATATTCTCGAAATAATTACTTGGACGTGTTTCTCCGTTGTACAAATCGCATTTACGCCACAAGGATTATGAGCGAGGCAGGCGATTCTACATCTGTGTAGATCGCAGATCTTTTCCTGAGTACAGTCTTCATTGACTTCGCATTCGATAGGCTGACAGCCGATCTTATCATCTTTAGAGTTTCCAAAGAAACCATGCGTACAGGAACACGTTGCGGCATGATTATCAGCCTTACATTCAGCATTACGGCCACAGAGTATTAAATCACAAGCCGTACGGCATTCCGCCTATAATAATTAACAAAGAAATGAATATATTAAATGAATTGAAATATTAATAAGAAGATATTTTATTATACAGAAATAAATGGATATAACAAAAAACGTAAGATTACCTGTCCGATACTGTTTTTAACGCACTTTTCGTCATATGCACAATCATTATCTGACGTACAACGTAATTCTTGAACACATATGTTATTATGGCAGTATTGGTATTCCGGGCAGCTAGAATTGCTTCTGCACGTAGGCTGGCAAATGCCATTGATGCAGAGTTGATCGCCGATGCAATCTCTCGTACTTCCGCAAAGCGCTGCGAATTGCAAACAAAATATAGGCATCATAACTTGTAATAAAAATTAATTTTATCATTTCTAAATTAATTTTATCATTTCTATTAATTTCATCATTTCACCTTTTATTATTTATTCTATTTATAATTATGATTTTGATTTACCTGTGCATATACCTCCATTGCACACTGAGCCAGTTGCGCATTGCGAGTCAGTCTTGCAATATTGAAGCGGCGTACATCCAAGATTCGGATCACCTGTGCCGCCAGGTTGACAGGTACAAACCGCGCTATGATTGAGCGCGGAGCAATCAGCTCCGTGTCCACAAACGTTCGAAAGGGAACAAGGATCGACGCATTTATGATCGAAACATGCATCCGATTGACTGCAGTCGCTATGATAATTGCACTCCAGATGAATACACTCTGTCTATAAATGTAAAGAGCGCGATTAAAAGATCGGTGTTAGAATCAAATGAAAAAATATATAATATTATTTAATAGAACATACAAGGTTTTGTTTATTTAAATCTAATTAAACGGAAAATTATTGTTAAATAAAATTATAAAAATAAGTGCTATAATTAAATTTACTTTAATATACGATTATTATTAATAATAAATACGTAAAATCTAGACTTTTTAAAAACAAATTCTTTCTTTAAAAAAAAAATAAATTTAATACTCACTGCTGGATTTCCTGTTGTTTGTCCAGGACATTTACAGATTGGAACATGATCACGTGCAAGACACTCCGCATTTCTACCGCAAATTCCCGGTACATCGCATGGATTAGTACATTTATTATCAACGCAGGCAGCTGAATTAGGACAATCCGAATCCGTGAAACAATCGCCAGGTTGCTTACAGCCAGTTTTGAATGGATCTCCTACTAAACCATGCGGGCATACACAGACAAACGATCCCTCCGTATTCTGGCATCTACAGATTTTTGAAATTTTATTACAAAATGCTGGTTGAGGGATTAAATTCTTGTAATTAATTATTAAAAATTATTAGATTCGCTTACATAGCTGAGAAGTGGCAAGGATTTTGCAAACACTCGTTAACGTCAGCGCAGATGTCGCCGACGAGAACAAAACCAGGATAGCATTTACACACGCTGACATGATCGATGGCCAGGCAATTACCATACCCGCAATTTACTTGATTACAAGGACCTAAGAAGACAGAGGTTGAGAGATTTAGAGAAGCTCTGAGATATTCATTTCATTTTTTTTTACTATAAATACGTATATCAAGTGCAACGAGATCTTTATGATCAATAAACTTACTGTTGCACTTGTTGATTTCCTGATTGCAATATTTATCCGTCGGGCAATCACTATTGGAAAGGCATTCTACTTTGAAGCAACCCGAGGCATCGCCAATGTAACCAGGCTGGCATTGACAACCAGCCGTATGATCCAGAACGGTACAAATAGTATTTAAGCCGCAGTCGACGAAAGAGCATGGATCCGAACAGTTGTGATGAATGCAGGCCTGCGTGTCCGGACAATCAGTATGCGCGGTGCATTGATGCGGTAGAGTGCATCCCGATCCTACGGGGTCGCCCGCGGTGCCTTGAGGACAAGTGCAACGATAAGATCCGTGAAGATTAATACATTCGGCGCTCGGATGACACGGTTGATCCTCGCATTCGTTTATGTCCAGGCAATGTTCCGGACCAGCGATAAATCCATGGCTACATCTAAAAAGATAAATTAATTATTTAATATATAAATTAATTATTTCAATTTATTTAATTATTTAAACCTTTTACAAAACCTTCTCCCACAAGGATAAAATATCTACTTGAGTATGAAGTATATAAGTAATATATTTAGTAAAATAATTCGTCGAATAAAAAGATATACCTGCACTTGTTGTTGATGCACACTTCGTCGTGTTTGCATCCGACATCCGATGTGCAACCGGCTTCGCAAGTACCATCGATACACAGTTCGCCAGGCAAACAATTACTATCGCTGTAACATATCTTTACGCAAATGCCGTTCTTGCAACGTTCCCCTTGCGCGCAGTTGTTTTGTTCGGAACATTGACATTGACATAATCCCGAGACGCACAAATGTTGACTAGGACAGTCTTGCGGAGTCTGACATGTGCTCGGGACTCGGACGCAACCTTGTTCAGGAGTAGGATTACCGTGGAAACCAAGAGGACACGTGCATGTAACCGCATGATCTGTGCAACTACAGATCGCATTTGGTCCACATATGTCTTTTCTATCGCAAGGATCTAGAAATAATCGCAAAAATTATTTTTATTTTAAAATTTCCTTATATCCTGTTTCATTAATTTATATTGATATAAAAAATAATGTTTATAGGTAATATTTGCAGCATACCTTGACACTTATTGTTAATACATGATTCGATAGTTGGACAGTTTTTATTGCTGCGACATCCGAGAATACATCCTCCACTAACACATGCCTGATCCACTTGGCACTGAGAATGCGAAATGCACGAGATCATACATTTGTTGTTAATACATTGTTCTCCGTCTGAACAATCGGCGATCGAACGACACACAGCTGAAAAACAACAAGAAATTCTCAATTTCTCATAATATTTCCAAACACTTTTCAAATTCAAATTTTTCAGTTTGACATGACAGAATTATCACACATTAATCCATTCAGTAATTAATCGAAACGTCGAATATTACCTCTGCATTGTCCATCAAGACACACGTTGTTCTCGCATTCCGAATCCACCGTGCAGTAATTCGTACCCCGTACGCAGCCGTGTTCCGGGCCCTTTGAAGACGGCACAAATCTGTGGATGCATTTACAGCTCGGCCGACCGTCCACGACCTCGCAAAACGCATTGGGGCCGCACGCATTCTCGCACGGATTCACGCAGCGATGATCGTGGCAGATGGAATGCACCGGACAGTCCTTGGGGCCAGAACAATATCCCTCCGGTTGACAACCGCTCGTATAAGGATCACCCACGTGATTGGACGGGCATCGACACACTGGTTCGTTCGTCGGACCAGGAACGCAGAGCGCTGTCGGGTGACAGGAGTCCGGACGGCAAGTCTCGATGGCGACACACTCGACGTCAGGCACCGGGTTCGGGCGCAGTCCAGGCGGGCATTGGCAGATCGCTTTATGGTCATCCGCGATGCAAACGGCATTCACTCCGCATGCATTTTCGTCGCAGGCGTCGTAGCAGGTGTGCGTGAGCCGGTTGCAGAGCTGGGCCGGTGGGCAGTCGATGTTGTAGACGCAGGGCACCGCGCGACAACCGGATGTCGGATCGTTCGGGTCGCCAGCGTACGATCCCGGAGGACACTCGCAGTTGGCCACGTGATTATTGACGACGCAGAGCGCGTTCGGGCCGCAAGAGATAAAATCGCAGACCAGTTGACAGGCGAGCGGACCATCCGGAGTGCCGCGACACGTCTGATCCTCTGAACACTCGCTGTCGGTGGTGCAACGGTTCTCGCGCGGGCTCTGACAACCCCGGCGATCGTTCGGATTACCTGTGTAACCTGGCAGACAATCGCAACGGCCCTGATGATTCTCGGCCACGCAGCGAGAATTCACGGTGCAGGTGAAACCATCGCAAAGCGACATGCACTTAAGCACGCCGAGCGCGTCCGGCTTGCAAGCCTCACTCGAATGACAGTCATTGTCACTAATGCAATCGGGTACTGACGGCTTCTCGCAGGACGACAATACCGGGTTCCATTCGTAACCGTCTTGACACTTACAAGTGGCATGACCAGGTACAACATCAGGCTCACACTTCTGATAAGCACCGCACACCACTTTGCTGCAGGGATTCATGCAGTCGCGTACACCACCATCTAAGATAATGCAGAAGGAACCTGGCTGACAGTCCGAGTCATGTGTGCATCCTGGTATCACGGACTTGGCTGGCTGACAACCCTCAATCAGATTACTCGGATTGCCCTGGTAACCGTCGATGCACAAGCAGGCCGACACATGATTCTGCGTGACGCACAGTGCGTTAGGTCCGCACTGCAACTTGCTGCAGGCGTCCACGCACTTGCGAACGCCTTTACCGATTTGGAAACAAATCTCCTGGGGCTCGCACTCAAGATCGTTTGAACAGTGGCCATGCAAGTGACAGCCTTTGTGCAGATCGTTGGGATTGCCGCTGTAACCTGGCGGACACACGCATGCTCCGTTCTGACAGACGGATCTAGGACCGCATTTTATGTCGCTGCATTGGTTTACGCACTTGTGATCAACACAGGTATAATCGAAGGGACATGGTGCAGTGTCACTGCAGACGCAAGTCGAAGGATCGGCGCACGGACCTACTTGCACCTGCCGACATCCAACGAAGGGATTGCCGAAGAAGCCATTCTTGCAACGACAATCGTAGCTTCCGATGGTATTGATGCAGACTGCGTTGCTTCCACATGCATTTCCGTTGCATTCATTGACGTCTATTGAAAAAAACATAAAAAGATTTGTTTCTTACTTTTATATTTATTACGAAGTATTGCAGAAATGAAAATATCGTGGCAGTTTCAACAAATGTCATTTTATTAAACGATATTATTATTTTAAGTAATTATCGAAAAGAACATCGAATAATCACACGATGAAAATAATTTAGAAAATCGCACTTTTTAAATGCAAATTTTAAAGCCGGTTGATTTTCATAGTAAAAATGTTGCAATTCGCTTTCCAATGTTTACATAATGTTATGCAAAATTATTCAATTATATTCTTTAAATTTTATTACATACTATTTCTGTAGCAATTATAAAAAAGAAAGACTACTATTAAAAAGACTGAGATATGCAATACATTTTAAATAACAGTTTGAAAAATAAAATTAAAATTAGCTGTACCAACCAAAGCATTGAATAAAAGGATTGCCAGCGAAGCCAGGTGGGCAGAGACATTCGACAGCATTGGGACCTGCGTTGCAATGCGCATCCTTTCCGCATACCGCGGTGGAGCAATCAGATTTTTCTTGGATACCACAGCCGTGATAAGGATTTCCATTAGTACCCGGATTGCAGACACATTTTGATTCTTGAAGACCGTATTCGCAGTGCGCATTCCTTCCGCAGGTTGGATCACAATAAGGTGGTTGAATCGCTGTGTAGAAATTATTTAATATTTATATTATTTATATTTATATTTATTATGTTATTTAATATTTATTAATTATTTAACAAATTAATAAATAGAAATTAGGCTCTGTAATGTATTAAACAACAACCGGAGAAAAGAGCGATTAATTATTTAATATTTATAAATTATTAGATGTGTGTTATTTTTCTCTTTTTTCTAAAAAAACATCTATATGAAACGGCCTCATTCATATACATATTACACTTACGTGGCATACAGAGTAAATCAGGGTTGCCGACAAAGTAGGGGTTGCACACGCATTTATTCGTTAAAGGATCGCACATTGCTCCGATACCGCAAACCACTCCCTCGCAACGCCGTTTGCAACGTCCACTGATGCACACGCTTGGCTCGGCGCACGGGATTTCAGGTGAGCAAATATCCGGCACGCATTGTCCACCAGGAAAAGGATTACCCATGAAGCCTTCGATACATTTACAGGTCGGCCCATCGTAACTGACGATACATTGAGCCCCGGTGCCGCAAACAAAGCCATCGCATTCTATATCAGAAAATTAAATTAATTAAAATTATACGATAAAATCACAGCTGATATATTTCACCCATTAATAATATATTGACAAAATAAATATACGCTTAAAAATTAAAATTATATTCTAAATTACCATAAAGTATCTTTTTACAAATAATTTATATAAATCGTTCATAATAATTTTTTTAATAAAAAATCTCTTACATCTATTATTTAATTAAAATATTGTATACAAAATATAATTTTGTCAATAAGTTGTTTGATTTAAAAATTTGTACTCACGTGAGACACATTCGTTGTTCTTGCCCTCTGTGAAACCGATCACACATCTACACCACGCGGCATGCTTATCAGGCTCGCAATATGCGTTTGGACCGCACGGTATATTGTCGCAAGGATTAACGCAGCTTCCTTGGACGCACGTCAGATAATTTTCGCAATCGTCGTTGGAGGAACACTCGCTTTTACTGGTCGGAACTCCCGTACAGCCAGCACCGTAAGGATCACCAACCATGCCTTTGGGACACTCGCATATATGATCTCCCTTTGTATTGATGCAATACGCGCCATGACCGCAAGGATTATTCACGCATTCGTTCACGTCGACGCAACCGTGCTGCGGATCACCTTCAAAGCCAGCCTCGCACATGCATCTTGGCGGGTCGCTCGGCGTACATTTTGCATTAATGCCGCATGGGAAACGATCGCAAGGATCTACAATAATAGAGAGTATTCGAGACAATTTCACGTAGAAAATATTAATCGTAAGATTGTGATATGTGAAAAAATTATAATTATGATAAAAAATTGGATCTTTAGACTCACTCTTGCATAGATTTCCATCCAAGGGATCCGTGTAGAACGGCGGTGGACACACGCATTCGCCAGGTTGCACACACTTCTCGTTAGCCTTACATTCGTTGTCGTTGGTACATCTCTTCTGGGCTGGAGAGCAAAGGCCGTTGTACGGATCGCCGCCGTATCCGTGTGGACACACGCATTGATGAGCACCTGGTAGATTGATGCATTCGGCACCGTAACCGCAGACTTGATGTCCCACGATACATTCGTTTATATCTATAAATTAATAATCGATTGATCGACTGATCGTATCAAATAACAACTATCAAGGTTTGCATGTCTCTCGACACGATTGTCATCAAATGAAGAATTTGTGCTCGCCTGACAAAAATGTCGCTTTTGTCAAATAACGTACCTTCGCAGGATCCATCGGATTTAGTCGTGTAACCTTTGGGACAGGCGCAATAACTGACACCGCCAGAAATCGTTATGCATTCGGCACCGCTCGGACATTTCTCGCCCTTGGAGCATCCAGCTAGCACGCATTTACGATTGACGACTTTGTACGGCGGTTGACACTGGCATTCGATACTGTTGCATTCTGTGAATTTTCCAAATTTTTCGACCTCAATCAACGACGTCAATAATAATAATAATAATTATCACAATAGCATAAATATAAATCAAAAGAGATATAACTTGAAAACTATCTACCTTCGCAAAGCGAGAACGGATTTCCATTGAAGCCCGAGGGACACTGACACTCGTAGCTGCCGGGAAGATTTTTGCAAATTGCGTTGACGCCGCAGGCGGGCTTCTCTCTTAGTTCCATACACTCGTTGATGTCTCTGCATTTACCAGTCTCGTGGTCGCGCATGTAACCGCGCTGACAGATGCACACGCTACTGCCCACGAATTCGTCCTTGATACACTGTTCTCCAGCGGGACAGGGCGCACTAGGACTACATACGTAAGGTGTTTTAGTCTTCTGGCAGCCACTGCTGTAAGGATTACCCGTCATGCCGCTTGGACATTGACATGAGTAGAAACCGGGCTCGTTGTTGCAAATTGCTCCCGGAGCACACTGATTTATCGCGCACTCATCGACATCTCGGCAACCTCCCTTGACTCCGGGCTTTCCGGTGTAACCGTCGTTGCAAAGGCACGTCGCCACATCGTTCAGAAGCATGCAACTAGCGTTCGGTCCGCAGGATAGGTCTTCACATGGATCTGATCGAGCAGGTTGCGAAAAATTACGACTAATGATATTTTTTATACACAAAAAAGTAATTTTTCTATGTTTCATATAAAACATATGAAAAGATCTATATCTTTTGAAGAAAGAAATATATATATTACTTACGCCTGCAATCGTTTCCGACATTAGGCTCGGGACATAGACATCTCTTTTGCTGATCACAATTAGCGTTTCCTGGACAATCGCCGTCGACCTCGCACTTGACTATACCAACGCACTTAATGTAGGGATCGGGATCTGGTATGGTTTCTTCCGGACAAGAGCAAGCGTAAGAACCTTCGGTGTTTGTACAGGTTGCTCCATGACCGCACACAGGTTTGATACATTCATCAATATCTGCATTTATTTAAACAATATGTAAGTACCAAGCAATAATTGAATTATAATTGACAAATAAAGATATTAATAAAATGCCTAAATAATAAATATATGAATTAATATTATATGAATTAATTATATGTATTAATTATATAATTAAAATTATATAAATTATATGTTTATTTATTATTAAATAATAAATAAGTACTTCTTTATTAATAATAAATTTTTAATAAAGAGCTTTTAGTAAATTAATAATAGATTTTTTGATAAAATTGCAAAATTAATATTTATTATTAATTAATAGTTTATCTCATGCAAAAGTTTTACCTATACATTGTTTGAAGGCATTTCCTGAAAATCCAGGTTTACATTGGCAACTGTAACCACCGGGTGTATTTGTGCAAATAGCATTTTTGTCACATCTTCCAGAAGGTCCATTTACATTTGCATCGCATTCGTTTATATCTAGATAAGAAAAATAAAATTATGTTTGTAAAAAGATTCCTATTTATATGAATAGTTAGCGATTGTCTTGATTCATCGAGGAATTATCGGTTTACTTACCGACGCATCCAGCAGCTATATCATTTGGATTAAAGGTCCAACCATCTTCGCAAATGCAATAAGCCTCGTGTCCATCAGCCTTACAAAAGGCATGTTCGCCGCAAGTTACCTCATCGCACGGTGCTTTTGAAATAATATAAATTATATTAATTTATAAAAGAAATTCTCAATGTATTTCCTCATTTTATGATTTTGTAAACAATTCTTTTGTATGTAACGTTTTTCTTCTAAAATATAATAATATTGTAAACATAATTAATTATTACCTTTACATGCTATGTGGGGCGGAGTACCAACAAATCCGGATTCGCATTCGCAATGATAGCTTCCTCTAGTATTCGTACAGATCGATGCGGGTCCACAGGGATTAGTGAGACACTCGTTCAGATCTACGCACTCGGCACCGACAGCCTTGAAGCCATCTTTACAGAAGCACTGCCCTTCAATGCACTCGGCATTGTTAACGCAATCAAAATTCGATTTACAGAGAGTTGTCACATCAGTCTAAAAATTATACAATGGTTTGGCATCATTATCCTTTTACATATTCATAACATTTGTCTTATTAATGAGACTGAATTTTTTACGGACTTTTATTTTTTAGATGGGCAAATAAAAAAACATATGTAACAAATGGAATTGTTTGAATAGGTTTTGCGGCTTTACAAAACAACGGAAAGAACATGGTTTTAAAAAAGGAGTAAATTGTGTATATATAAAACCGGTTTGCATTCGTTTTAGTTTGGTACACAATGCCGCTTTCTTACTTTCTTTTATCTGTCACCTTGGTAAACAAGGACCGGGGACCGGTCCAAGATGTAGATCATGTCTATTTTTGGGAGGATATGTTTGCCTTGGGATATTTGTATACATATGTATGCATGAAGTGACTATTCAAGATACAGGTCACAACGGAGTTATTGAATTATACCTGGTCGCATGCGACTGGCGAACTGGGGTTGGCACTATACCCCGTCGGGCAGACGCAATTGTAACCAGGCACTTCGTTCTTGCAAATCGCATTCCTACCACAAGGATTCTCCAGAGCAGTGCACTCGTCGATGTCTAGAAAAAACCGGACATCAAGACAATAAAGAAATTTTATGAGATCAAATGAGATGTAAATCAGTCAGAGAATCGCTTTGATATTTATGTTTCGAGCGATTATATACTTTAAACAATCTATAATTTGTAACAAAATTTGAAATAGAATTCTATGCATAATTTTATGCAACATGAAAAGCATTTAAGAAAAAACATACATATATATTTATATAAAACATATAACAGGATACACACACAGAGAATTCTATATACAATCTTATCAAATTATAGATCATCGCTTGGCAAATTAAGACAATTTGATGTTCTAATATGGTGGAAAAGAGAGAAAAGTACAATTGTAAATATAATTGTAATTTTATGCAAGTAATGAATTTTTAATTTATGAATATAAAATTTAAAGAAGGAATTGTAATAAGTTTTAAAATCATATCAACGTAGGATAGGATCTGGCGCTTTCAGAGCCACCGTAGCTCATTGAATTCATATATTGAGTGTCTCCTTGTTAGGAGAGACATATCGGAAAACAAAAAAGTATCAGTAAGCTAACCACTGCACTCCTTGTAAGGATCGCCCGTGTAATCCACCTTGCAACTGCAGATAAAGCTGCCGATCGTGTCGGTGCATTCGGCATTCTCGCCGCATGGATTGCGCTTGCATTCATTCACGTCTGTTAATCGCAAGATGAGTCTTATTAATCGTTAGCCCTCTATAAGGCGCAATACAAACATGCAATGAGATAGATTAGAATTATAGCGAGCCTAGAGCTGTGACTGACTTTCGCAGAGGGTTAGTCCTTGGCCGACGAAACCCGACGGACAAATGCACTTGTATGACCCTGGGATGTTGATGCATCTCGCGTTGGTGACGCAAGCGTTCGCGCCAATGCACTCGTTCACGTCAACGCAACCATGCACGGGATCCATTTGATAACCGGCATGGCATCTGCATTCGAAGCTACCCATGGTGTTCACGCATTCCGAGTTCGCTCCGCAGGATGAACCTTCCTCGCACTCGTTTATATCTGTTAGTGACGGTTAGTTAGTTGATTAATTCATGAGATGAAAGTGAATGCAAAAATCTATAAGTTTGGGAGTCACTTACAGACACATATTATAATACCAAATTAGCACACACAATGAATCTAAACTCTAAAGCAACTAACATGTGTACTATTTACTATCTCTCTTGGTGAGACTTTAATTAAAATAAATTTTATGTATTTATTAAAGCTGACTATGATGATTAGAATGATAACGAACAATGTTATACTGAAGCATATGATAATTAATGATATATAATATTTATTGCAAAAAGTCGTTTTCACATACAAAATATTATTTTTTACTTACCACACATAATTAATGTATCGTAACAGTTTAGTTTAATAATTGCAATAAAAAAATTCGTAAGATTGTAATTCTAAAAATTTTCTCAAGGCTTACCATGACAACCTGACAATGGATCACCATCCATTCCCTCAGGACACGAACACCGGAAGCTACCGTGTACATTTGTACAGAGAGCGGAACGTCCACAAGGACTTCTTAAACACTCGTCGATGTCTCTGCACTCCTCATCGGGACTACCGTCGTATCCTTGAGGACACTCGCATTTATGCGCGCCTGGTAAGTTTACGCATAGTGCTCCCTTTCCGCAGGCACCCTCGTATTCGCATTCGTTAATATCGATACACTAAATTTAAATAAATTTATACTTATATATATATTCGTAATTTGCTACTATTTAATAAACCTATTGTCAATTTTTAAATGTGTCATAATAGATTTTTATTTCATATCTTATATATAATACTAGACTTATTTTAGATATAATATGTAGTGCAATTTTAAAAATAAATAATCAAAAAATAGAAAAATTTTCTACATTAATCATAAAATTAATCATAAAAATAATAAAAAACTTTCAAAAAGTAATTCTAAAGTATTTAAGTTGTTTGACGATAAAAAAATTTAAATAAAACAAATATTAAATATTATTATTCCTAATAATAATTACATTTACTATTATAATTAAAAATTTGCAAATGTTTTTAATTTGTCTATATATACTCTATATAAATTGCTCATACCTTTATTATAATAATTATTAAGAAAATAATATTTCTAATGTAAATTGTATAAAAAAAATATTCTACTAAATGATAGAAATTTTCACGTTTATTATTATGCATTCTAATTTATCATCCTCCTTAATATTATATATTCCTATTTTTATTATTTTCATGTACTCACACTGTTGTACGGGTCTCCCGTGAAACCATCTTGACACGTGCAAGTATAATTGCCAGGTATGTTGTGACACACGGTATTGTCGCCGCAAGCACCTGGTATCGTGCACTCATTCACATCTTCGCAATGCACTTCACCGTCGCCGATGTAGCCGGGTTTGCATTTACATAGAAAATTCGAAGGAAGATTGCAGCATTCGGCATTTTCGACACAACGTCCCGCGAGCGCTGGATCATCACATTCGTTGATATCTGCAGATATGTGTTTATAATTAATCATGTTGGAAATTCTTGTGTGAAATTTGCGTGTCAGCCAAACGAGCACGTGGTCAAGAACAATAAATGTACACCGATTTTACTTAGAAAATGATTGTATATAATTAGTTATTTTTTTACACAAGAGCCACAAATATTGAGTTCACAATTCACAAAAGCAATCTTTCTATACTGGTAATGAGAATCAGAGTCGCACAAATTTATTACAAGAGAGTACTATTTGCCACAAGGCTCGAGAAGGAACCAACAGGTTATGGGCCCGTATAACGAGTGCTAAAAAAGGACAAAAAAAAGGTAAAAATAGAAAACAAGGACAAAAAAAAAAGTTAAAGTATGGAAAAAGAAGAGAGAAAAGAAAAGATGAGAGTGAAAAAAAACTTCTGTAACAGAAAAGAAGTGAGAAGAACAATGGCAAAGGGACCCTAAGATGATGTGGCACATATATATAGAGAAATTGAATGAAAACTTCCAGATAGAAATTCCTAAATATTACTAAATATTACTAAATTACTAAATATTATTAAGAGCGCCCGATTTACTTAATATAGTAGAAGATCCACCGCAAGATACTGAACAATGGAAAAAGAAATACTGCTCGCGAGATGTGGATGAAATTAAGTAATGTCTATCAACGCGATAATGAGCAACAAAGATACGTGTTAATGCAAGAATTCTTTAATTATACGATGGTTAAAACGAAAGACGTAAGCACGCATGTCAGTAAATTACAGAATCTAGTTTACAGAATTAGAGCTTTAGGAATAGAAATATCAAATCGAATGCTGATTTCAAAACTCTTAGTAACGCTCTCTGAAAACTATAAATCATTTGTCATCGTGGGAATCGACGTCTGAGGCTGAAAAAATAATTGAAAATTTAACTTCGAGACTTCTCTTAGAGAAAATGCGAAATCACGAACAGGAAGAGAAAGAGAATCTAGTCGCGTTTAAAACTATAGGAAAAAATGTAACAGATGTAATGAAAAAGGACATTTTACGAGATCATGTAAAAAAGAGCGCCGTGAATCGAATAATAAAGAAAAACGCTGTTTCAGTTGTAATAAGCCGGGTCATTTTGCAAGAAATTGTCTAAAAACAGGAGGATCTAAAGAGAAAAACTTATTCTGTAAAATATGTAAGAAGACAAATCGAAGAGAAAGACTGCTATTTTCGAGATCGAGAATCAAAGAAACAAATCAAAATAGATACGAAATAATTATTATCGTTTTGTAAATGATAAACTTACCCTCGCAATGAAAGCCGTTGCCTCGATATCCGGGGAAGCAGGAACATTGGAAGCTGCCAAGAGTATTTGTACAGTGGGCAAATATATCACAGGGCCGATATTTACACTCGTTCTCATCTGTAATTTTCAATTTTTTCCATTGAATATTTCTTAATATTATATTAAAGAATAGAAGAGAGAATAAGCTTAGAATGTATGTACTTGCGTTGAATTTATCCAAGGATTGCATGTACAATAAGATATACACGCATTAATTAAATATAAGTTATAGAAAAAGAAATATTATAATTATTATGTAATAAATAAGGATATTATACAATAATATAATCGAGTTGCACAAACCTGGAACTTGACAATTACATCCTCCAAACCCATCATTACAATGACAGACCGAATTCAGACACACACCGTTTTGACATTTGGTGCCGTCTTCTTTTGTACAGTCGTCTATAAATAAGATTTTTCATAAAACTCACTATTAGTTTTCTCATCATGAAATATATATTTTGAATAAATCATATTTTAATTAATTTAATTAATTTAATTTATTTAGTTAATTTATATCGTTATCATTATTTTTTATTTTATTAACTAAATTTATAAATATACATTTTTAAAATTTGTTATATAGATTTTTAGAAAAGAAACGGAATTCTAAATGTTTATTAATATTTTAAAATAATAATTTTTAATATTAATAAATATTAATTTTTATTTTTTCCTAAAAAATTACTAAATGTTTGATTTTTTTTCAAGTTAATCCGACCAGTTTTATGCAGGGAATTAGAGAATATATTCAATTATTAAAAAATATCCTGTCTGATGCACGAGCCGTTTTTATTGGTCATTAAGTAAGATTATCCGAGAAAAAGAGGCAAGCAAATTGCGACTATATTGTAAGCCTCGGTTAATCGCGCAATTTTCTCCCACCGGACTAATCATCGATACCAAAGTTCTTTTCACAAGCCGCGAAGCCGATACGTTCCGGTAAGATTCAGGTAACGTGAACTGCTCATCCACGCCTCAGCAACGTCAATTACCCTTCTATCAAGAAAATAAAGTAGGAAAATAAAAATAATACTCTGCAACTAATTACGCGGACGTAGGCGTGACTTGGTACAATATATAATGACACGAGAACATAATCACTAATTGACGCGACGAGATGTTACGCGTCGCCTCGATGTGAATATGTCTCTGCGACGTGAAGGAAAATTACTTAGCTTACCACATAATGACATCGAAAATGACGGAATGATGTAAAGAAGCAACGGAAATGTTAACGATAGTGCGTCATGTCATGCAATGTCTTCTTTTTTTTACTTCCTCCGTAAAGTTCACGATCGCTTCACAGTGACACTGCATTCACGAGAAGCTTACCCTGATGAATTCGAGCTTGTTTGAGGAGATATGTCTTTTTCCCACAGGTAACTCACCTGTGCACTTTAACTTGTTGCGCTGCTCATCCGCACCCTGATAACAATCGGTGCGATGATCACAGAGCTTCGAGAGCTCGAGCAGTTGCAGAATATCCGTCGACTCGTTGACTTGGCAGCCGAAATAGCCATCCTCGAGGTTTAGGAAGAATACTTCTCGCCTCAATCCATGGCCGAGTCCGTTACGTGATTCGGCCTGAAAAATTGTAGGATGGATATTATTTTTTTTAAACATAATCAACATAAAATTATTTTCTGAATAACGTTCTGATGTGAATTCAACTATAAATGAAGTCAAACTTCTTCTTGAGAAGCTCTATCATAATTGTATTCAATTGAAAACAGTTTTCACAGATTGAATAAAAAAATTAATGAATCTCTTCACTCGCGAAAGGATAAAAGTTTTTAGATGAACGCTTACTTACCGTAGGATACGAAACTAGAAATATCCACGCCAGCAACGGCCAAAGATGTTTCATCTTTGCTATAAAAAATTTAAAAAAATCATGAATTGATTATCAATTATTAATTATTCATATAATCATATTGATATCGTATATGTATACATCAAATATATGAATTTAATTTACTGATAACGAAATAAAGGTGCGGAAATTTTTAGCGATGATCAAATGTGTGTGCATAAGCGTTTGTCATCCTTTCTCGAAGAGCGTTACAAAAGAAATTTAAATAAATTCTTAAACACGTACACGTAATAGCCCGATGACTTCACGCAGGAATCACCCATGGTAATTGCATCATCGCAAATTCACAAGTGGTTTCGCAAAAACGATACTACTCAACGACAACACCCTGGGAACGATTTTTCACGATCACGCTACATCCGAAGATGAAAAAGGAAGAGAAAGAAAGATGCACTCAACATTCTCCGCGATGTTCACGGTGTATAAATCACGAGGAAAGCATCGCGGTTGCAGGAAATCATCGGAAAATCAAGCGTAAATACAAAACCGCAAGAAACCATCGACCGTTTTTTTAGTCACAACGGATAAACCTACACTGATTGAACACCTGTCCAACGAACAAGCCGCTACTCCACCAATCGCTTCGGTATGGCTGATTCACAAATGTATGTTAGATTGGTTGATCAGCCCTCACATATAAATTACGCAATATATGAAAATATCGATTTTATTACTCAATTACGATAGATATACACATTTAATATCTTGAAGCAAAAAATACGAGGTGTTTCGATATGATAGGTATAAATAAATTATGTATAAATTATTCTGCACAGATTTAACTGCTAATGACATGACGGTATTAGTTATCGATGATTAAAGTCAATCAAAATAAATTTTTCGTTATTAGAAATAAGTTGATTGAAATTGATCATTTAGCGCAATTTTTTCCTTAACTTTTATCATTTTATATCTCTAAATAAAAGCTTCAAAATTAAATTCTTGTTACAATAAAATTGACGCACCAATTTTAGTCTTCAGATACGCCTCGTACATTTGCAAGATGCGCAGTGCATTTGACTTAATATTGTGGGAAAATGCGTGTTTTCATCAGACTTGCCAATGGAATTTATATTCCGCAGAAATGCGGAAGTCTAAATCGGCGAATTCCCCGGTATCGCGAAACAGCTGTATTCTGTTTATTGTTCTCGTCACAGCAGACATTACAAAATGCAAATTTCACAAAAAATGCGATATTTTCGCGGGATAGTCATATACGCGAAACGTCTTCGTTCTAGGCTCTTCATAGATAAACGATGCAGATAAACGCATTATGCGCGTGCAACGAATAGCACAATAAGTTGGAGCTGTAGCGATCAACCTGGCGCGGTGAAATGTTAACGACTGCACGCGGCTAAGCTCACAGGGTGGATCAAGGGAGTAAGAGGGAGAAGAGAAGGAAGGACGTTATGTTCGCCAAGTCGGATGAGAAGGAGGAAGAGCGGAAAGTGTGCAAGGAGAAACAACCAGGCGGATAGAAGGTAGAGGAGAGAAGAGAAGCGAAGGAACGTAATAAAGGAGGGCGTATGAGTGCGATGCACCTGTGATTCTCCTGCCCCCTCCGACCACCTTGCATCGTCGCCGAGTCGTACCCCTCCGCCGTACCCCTAACTCGTCAAGATGTATAAACCCACAGCTGCGAGTACGGGTATCCACGCGTTCCCTTATTTTAATTTTGTCACGGAAGAGCCAGGCTCTACCCCACTGTGAGCGAGTATAATTTTAGGGCAGCCAGTTTTGCTTCCGCAATGTTATTTTTTTTTAATCAAAGTTCTATATTTAAAGAGAAAAATAAAGCTTACGTACGTGAAATTAATACATTATCTTATTAAATCCATGCAACGAGGTACATATAAAAATTTACAAATATAGTTAAATTATATATTTATAATTTTTTTAAATAATTTATGGAATAAATTAGCATTTAATAATATACCTCATGTATTTCATTTTCTACATACATTTTGTGGCTTCAAGTAGTCTTTCAAGTTATGAAAGTGTGATGATTACGTAATAGTTCACGGTTTACGCGTATATATAAAAAAATATCCCCTCTTGTAGTCGGTCTTTCTAATAAATTAATAATTTGTAATAGCTATGTATTGATTCGTCTTACAAAATTATACAATGTATAATAATTTTACGTATGCATATAATAATTTTGATAAAAATAGTAATTCAATCTGTGTTTAAATTTTAACAAATTGTACAAATAAAAATTTCTTTCTCGTGAAAAAGGACTCAACAGAAACTTTTATTCTTTTATTAAAGTCGTAACGACTAAAGAAATAAATGTATTTTTTTTAATATACGCTGCAACGTAGATATAGTAGACACAGTAGAGCTGTGAAATCTCGAGGCAATCGTTCTTGACTGACATCGATCTTTCTGCCGCAAGCGATTGACATAGTTACATTGATTTTTGTCGATACTTCTTTAGCATATTTACATGTCGCAATCTTACAATTGGTTAGTCAGTAAGCATCGCTTACAAACTGTACACTTTAATTTTACATCACAGCGCATCTGTATGAATAGGAATGATATTAATCGCATCTGAATAAAATGAATGATATTAATCGCAATGCGCATTTATATATATGGAGCTTACAAGACTCCTCCTACGCGCAACGTTATGATATGAATGGTATCGAATGAAACAAGGCAAATTGACACACAAGACTTCTAGTTTAGATAGTTGCTTTTTTTTATACTATAACATATCAATTTCCTTAACTAAACACAAACTAGAATAATACAACGCAAGTCTACTTCCTTATATGCCTTCCTTATATTATTTAATAAATTGCAATTAAAAATCTTAAAAATAAATCTTCCAAATATGATTTAGCGTAAAATTATAACATATTTTTTATCAAACTAAAATAAATTATATCTTTTGAGTTAGATTTTTTATATGTGTTGGCCAAATTATCGAAATTAATTTAAAATGCAAGAAGATAAAGAATATTCAACTGAAATTTATATTATAAAATATTGAATATATATTTCGAGGCATAATAAATTAATTGTCATACGAGTATGTGGGTATCGTTTTTTTTAACATATTATTATTAACAATATGCGATTACCTTGTTATTCGAGCAACGTGAAAGAGAAGGTAATATTGCGAGATGCTTTTTTTCTTTTTCGAAATATGATCGCGATAAGTGTAGAGAAATAATTTGCTAGGGTCATTATAATTATCAATTAATCAACTTTCGATAAAGGATACGTAACATATATTACGATGATAGGTCTCTATCGAAGCGCGTATTTCTCGCAATTTATTCATTTTATTATATCAAATTTTATTGCAATAATTTGCGTTATGAACAAAAATTACTTTTCAAATTTTATATACAAATTTTATATACAATTATATATACTTTGCAAATTTTATTGCAATAATTTGCGTTATGAACAAAAATTACTTTTCTCTAACAATATTCAAAATTTTAAATATATTTCGAGACTTCAAATTTTTCATTGATTTAAATTTAAATAGCTATTCGGAATAAGATCACATAATATAATAAAATAAATTCCAGAATTGAATGTTTAATATGAAAGATTAATTATTTAATTAATAATTAATATATAAATCAAAAGAAACACTTCTCGTTGTATATACTTACATATTATAATACGTAAAATATTTCTGTAATGATTAAACCTTGACAACGTATAGCGCGCTATACTTGTTTACGTACGACTTTGTTATCATTCGCTCGGTGACTCTCGAGCAATAAAGTTCTAGTACCAGAAGCTCCACATATATTATCGAATTTCTATAATCGAAACGTAATCGCGACAAATATTAAAAGTTAATTCCTTACAATTATTACAATGTTTAACGATTAATCAACTTTTGATCAACAACATGATAAGTTAAGAAATATCGCGCATATATATGCAGGAGATACGCGGGATATTATAGAAAAAAAAGAATCTTTTATTATGGCTTCTGTTATAAAGGTATGATTCCTCGCAGATCTCGACCATGACTGTTTCTTTTCGGTTCGCAATTCCTGCTCCGTCTTTTGGGTCTCATACGTGGCCTAATTAGCTCACGATACGCTCGGCTATATCCAAAGAACGATTAACCTTCGCGAACATTCGAGATTAAAACACAAAAACATGAGACATTACAATAATAAGATCAGAGCGCAAATCGAAAAGACAAGACAAGAGAACACAATTCGAAAATAACGATTTAACGCGATCGTGGCAAGTCCTTCCCTGCATATATATATATGTGTGTGTGTGTGTGTGTGTGTTATACATAAAAAAGAAAATTATTTGAATAAGGAGTTAACTTTTTATAACGTGATATTTGATTTTTATGGTATACAACGCTCTAATGTTTACGTACCCGCGTTTCGTTATCATTCACACGGTAACATTCGAACAGTAGGTAGTAGTGCGAAACGCTCTCTCGAATTCCTTTCCTAAACGCAATCGCGACAATAATTTATTTTGATTATTATAATTAATAATTTATTTATTAATAACTTTACGTAATAACTATATGGCAACGGTAGATTTTTATATAAAGCACATGTTTATGCCGTGATTTATTTATTTATTACTGAAAGCTTTATATACATATATATATGCTCCCGATATCGAATTAGAAATCTCATTGAATATTATTAGACAATGCTTAATAAAAAGCTTTGCTTCAAAAAAGGGTTCGCAATCATTTGGGAGTTTAATAGGAAGTATCGCACAAAATATCGTGCGTTTAAATGCGGAAGTGTCGGTCAAAGTGTCACATACCCAAGTGCGGGAGTGTCGTTTAAAGTGTCGCGCGTGTGAGTCAACGAATCCTGAAAACCTGAGTGGAAGAACAGGCCTAGGAGATATCGAATACTGGCGAAGCAATTCTGGGGTGAGTGTTGATTATTTTATATATTAGTTATATATAAATTGCGTGCGCAAATTAATTCGTTTTATTTATAAACAATTTTCAAGCAAGAGATTAGAAAAAAGAAAT